TCCAGCACCACCCACTACGACAGATACGGTTTACACTGTTATGAAAAACTATGTTTCCATTAATGATCAGTTGGGGCGGAAGTACTCTGTATTATCCTGTGATATGGCAATTTATCTGATTGCCAAGCTAATACAAGTACAAAGTAAGGAGTTTAACCATTTAATTTTGAGAATTGGTGCCTTCCATTTAGCAAAAAACTGGTTAGGTATAATTGGACAGTATGTAAACGAGAGTGGTTTCTCTGATATATTTATTGAAACAGGAATCTACGGTGAAAATACGTTGCAGGCTATTTTGAGAGGTGTACAATACAACAGGGGTATCAGAGTGCATAAATTAATGTACGAAGCATTGCGTAGACTTCAACTGAAACTATTTCTCAAAGAAAGCAACGCAGAAAGTCTGTCAGAGATTAAAAATCATGTGTTATCCTTACAGCAAGCCGCATTATGTGGCAATGATAATGTTTCAGCTAATTATGAAATGATAATAGAAGAAGGAACCCCATTTTTCATCGCATTCAAAGAGTTTCTTAAAGATAAATCGTCTACTAACGAAACCTTCAAATACTGGTGTCAATATTGTGAAATGGTGGAAATTTTGCTAGACTGTGTCAGAGCTGAAAGAGATGGTAACTGGGATTTACATTTGTGTGTTGTAACTAAAATGGTGCCTTATCTCCTACTATTCAACCATGTTAACTACGTCAGAGGATGCATATTTTACCTTGCAGATATGGCCCGCTTACCTCAGGAGTTGAAGACTGCGTTTAGTCAAGGACACTTTTCTGTTAAGAGAAAAGCAGGAAAATTTAACAACGTGGCCACGGATCATGCTCTCGAACAGACTCTTATTCGCTCTTCTAAAGTACAGGGTGGTCTCATTGGAATAACTTCCAATGAAAGTGCTATGCAAAATTGGTGTTTGTTGTACCATTTTAAAACTGGTATTTGTCGATCCTTAGAAGAGTTTTGCGACATATTTCAGGACCCTACAGGTGACGTTGAAGAATTTGTTCACAAAGAATGGAGTAATACGAGGATAGAAAGAGATGAAAATGATGTCAAACTTGTGATTAATTTTATTAATGATCATGACAATCCTTTTGAAAACGTCACACCAGAATTGAGAAACATAGTGAGTGGAGTTATTGTCACAGAAGCGGCATCAAAATTCCTGTTAAACATCAAAGAAAATGGGGATTGTCTCTTGGAAAAGTTCAAAAGGCAGAGAATTATTGAAAAGATTAAGGGTTTATACGAGCCTATCGAGAGAAATCCTGTTATGACAATGTCTTCAACACCACATGCAAAACAGCTAAAAGAAACAAGGAAAGCTCCTCTGCTAACAAACGTTAGTTCAAAAGTGATGCTAGCAAATCAAAGAAACATTCATATCCAGGATTTGTTGAGCCACGAGCTATTAGACTATCCACCCAGTTTGGCTCACTCTACTGGCCAGCTAAAGAAAAGTATCAAGGCAGACTTGATGAATATTATTGAAAGTGACACTTCCTGTAGTAGACGTTTGGAAGAAATATATTTCCTCGATAACAAAGTACAAGTTATCGATGGAATGGCATTGGTTCATACTGTCCCAAACAATGTGTTATCAAAGATAGAAACCTTTAAAGACTTTGCAGATCTTCAACTTAAGCAAGTAGAACGTTTTCTCCAAAACAGTACAACGATACGAGTGGACCTTGTGTATGATCGATACAGTAACATCAGTACATCAATTAAAAATGGGGAAAATGATTTGAGAAGTTCAGGAAAGTCACCATTGCTTATCAAAATTCACAGCGATTTAACCAAGATACCAAAACAGTGGCCTCGTTACATAGCTATTCCCGAAAACAAAAGAAACCTTGTTAAGTACATTTCGGATTACATAGTCCATAACATAACCGTCCCTGCTGAAAAACAATTTTTTGTATCAGGTAGTTTTGAAAATGAAAATAACTGTTATGTAAAATCAGAAGACCAACTAATAAAAGACTATACAACCCTAAATTCCAATCAGAACGAAGCAGATACCAGGATCTTCCTTCATGCATATGACTCATTGCGAAATGGGAAAGGTGTAAACCTTATAATTCACAGCCCAGACACAGACGTGTTTGTATTAGCGGTTTCATTCTGGCATTATTTTAAGGATATTGGCTGTCATACCTTGTGGTTAGTAGCTGGCACTGGAGAAAGGAAAAGGGCTCTGGGATGTCATTTAGCTTCCGAAGCACTGAACGAAAAATTATCTAAACATCTACCAGCTCTACATGCATTTACCGGCTGTGACTCAACAAGTAAAGTAGGTACTAAAAAGTATGCTTTCAACTTAGCAAAAAAATCAGAATTTGTTCTAGATACGCTCCACCTGTTATATAAACAAGACCTAGATGATGCTCAACTTCGACAACTAGAAGTTGTATACTTAAAAATTATTAAGAAAAAGGGAATTACTTGTGATGAAAGCCGATATATTCATTTCTTGTCATCCCCATCAGCAGTAAATGACATTGGTTGTTTGCCATGCACATCCAACTCATTCCGCCAACATATCCTTCGGTGCACCGCTCAACTGTACTATTGGCAAAATTCCACTATTCCATTTGTGGAGCCTTTGGACTTGACACAATTTGGTTTTTTCTTGGATGAAAATAAGACATTAAAGCCCCTATTGATGACAAAGCCAGCCATACCAGACACTTTAATCCCACCTTGCTCGTGTAAAAACTGCAAAAAAACGTCTTGTATATGCTTTGTAAACCATTCATCTTGCTGTAGTTATTGCACTTGTAAGGACAATTGCAAAAACCCACTAACTAAAATGTATTCTGAAGAAGAAGAATAAGTGTAGTTACATATATTGTGTAATGAACGAGAGAAAAAACTCAAATTAAAAACATACAACTTCATTAAAAAATGTCTTAATGGGAAATTATGTATTAAGACGTGTATCACTATTACAATACTTGTAAATATAGTTTGTTAAAATAAAAAGATTTTTTTTATATAAAGTATATTTTGTTCGTTATTCTAAAGGAAATTATTTTATACAACATTCAAACTCCTTTTGTAGTTTCGGTCACTGTTATCAACATTGCAGTCCATATTGTCAAACTAAAGGTACGGTATGTGAAATAATATAACCTACAACACTTTGATATCTCATGATACTATTATGAAATGTCCCAGCATTTATATTTAAATTTAATTGTAAAGTAAAAATAACCTAAGTAAAGAACAGTTTTTCCTATAATTTCTTCCTGATTTTTCATCAGTTTTTTTTATTCATAGATCTACAAACATAAAAGCTATGTTTATCCTTAAAAGGTGTCTCTTGGTACTTGTAATTTCGGTTGCTTTAAAAGGTACCCCTGCCGCAGTAAACCTGCAGACTCAATATTATATTATACTCAAATATTCCCTTAAAACTGTCAGCTTTATTTCCTATTTAAATAAAATGAATTATAATGAGTACCTAGGTTTGCTGCTACAGGGAAGGTATTGAGGTGAGTTTTATATTGAAATGTTGATAGCTTAGTATGAATTAAACAAAATTGCCAAATTTGATTATAATATATCCATATATAAGCAAACTACAACCGTTTTTTTGATTCTCCGTAAGAATAACATGGGCATTTTGAATTTAAGTTTTTTTTAACTATATCCATAACCGTTAGGCATACAACAGCCCTTTGCTATACTAAATTATTTCTTTTTTTAAGCTCTACAAAATGGGTTAAGAAATAAATTGCAAATTGTTTGGTTATTAGGGTCAAAAATGGGAAAAACCTATTTCAACCCCATAACCCCATATTGATTTTTAGCTTCAATATAAAATAACTAAAAAACCATCAAAGATACGAATTTCACTACATTAACATTTTTAAAGATCATAATTTTTTGAGTAAATTGACGTTTATTGCAATGTTCTACCTAGAATAGTTCTCGAGCTATAGGCGTTTTAGTAAACGGCGCCCCCCGCCATATTGCCCCCCTCCCCCCCGGGTTGTCGACCACGCTGGGGGGCGACGACATGCGTTTTCGTGATCACTATAGTGCCTATAACAATAATCAGAAATAAAATTGCGTCACCCTTTTCATGCATGCTCAACCCCCTTCAGATCCTGGACTATATGGATTGTGCTAACAGATTAATTATTGAAGGGTGTGCTGCAGTGATTGTTATTTTAGCTGAAGATATAGCACGACATTTAAGTGTTGTTAAAAGATAGAAACCAAGCTGTAGCTTGCAATATTTATATTAAATAAACAAGGTTCACTTTGATACAGTTCAAGCATTCAAATGGTTTGACCTACCATTAATTTTAAAGATTGCTTTGTTTTCACCGTTTCAATTGATTCGATTTGTGTCAATGTTATAGATTTTTTTGTTTTCACCATGGTACCGAACTTAAAAACTAAGATGACAACCACTGACTTTAAAGAGCAATAGTTAAACTCATAGTACACACATCGACGAGACGGAAGACGATAACTCCTTACGCCGTCTAGCCACGCCTGCAACAGGCGTAGCAGGTTAGTCTTAAAGGGCGTGGGTAACAGGCGTATTGGGTTGCCACGTCTGTTTCTCTCACGTCTCCACTGTTTACACGAGACCTGGCCACGCTTCTCGAGAAAGCCTACACGCCTGATTTTGACGTGGCCCCATGACAGTGTAAACACCGCTTTAGTTATAGTATTCTGGCTAAGACATGGTTTACTCAACAGTAAAAAACTTTTAATTCTGAATACCATGCGATGTTCAATATCATGTATTGACTCCAGGAAAAATAGATTCCTGATACTAATTTATTTATTTTAAAACACAGACAACATTTAGTTTAAACTATATTGCGTAACTATTAAGTTCAGAGGTTTATAAGTACACATAAATGATTCTATTTTAGTAAGGTATAACAACAGTATGCCCAAGTGGGATGAAATTGATTAGTAGGCCTACTTATCACTGTTTCAATTGTTATTCTATATTACAGGCTCAGGAAACGGTGCTCCTGTGGGCCGAGGAAATATGAGAGGGAAGAGACAGATTTATGTAGATACCTTAAGAACCCGCCCAGAAACCTTGGTATCTAAAAAAGGTAAATGTAAAAGAAGGCAATGTTAGATCAAATAAGTATGATCATATTCTTTTTTTGTGTAGGCCTAATACATAACTCAAAAAACACTAACCACAATGTCATGTTGCTTAGTCAAGTGGGTAACCAGCTAGTCTCAATTTTATTTAATGTTTTTTCCTAATAGGCTGCAGGACTTTTTTAGAGAGTAGATTGAAAATAAATTATTGTTAAATCTAAATTGTTGAAAGTATTAAAGATTGCTAAACTAATTTTTCTAAAAAATCCTTTTAATACCATATTGTTTTACTAGTAATCACAAACTTGATTAACGTTTTGTAATTTTAGACTTATTGGTGTTTTTAACTAAATTTTGCATGTAAGCTAATGTTTGTTTATGTAAGTCTCTTGAAATATTGTGTAAGCAATACATATTTTGTATTTGCCTAGGTCAAGTCAAAGAAAATTGGCGGTTTTTAGTTTAATTCTTTTACGATTGTATAAACATCTTCATTGTGTATCAAGAGTTGACCAACAAGTAGGCCTAATTGATTTTCTACTGAAAAAAATCTTAAAGAGTCTTGACAGCCTTCATCTAGGAAAATTGAGATTGAAAGTATCTCTTATGGTACTGTATAGTATAGGCTACTGATTTCACAATAATTACAGTTTAATAATCATGAAAAAGTGAAGATGTACAAATTGATAACTTCCTTGGCTATATGTTAATAAAGGGGTTCTAGTTCAACATGACCTTAAGGTATCAACTTCAGAATGTAATGTGTGGCTGTTAAATGAATGGGATTTTTACTTTTTACAGCTATACACAATTTATGGAGACAGTCTTGTTTTTGTCAAATGTTATGAGTTTGAGTTTTGGCTGGATATATACTATCTGTTTTGGGTCTCCCTGAACCCAAAAAAGAGGTTTTCAAAGTAATGTCTGTGTATGTCTGTTCATAGTCTGTATGTATAGCATTTCCAGATTATATACAAATTTAGTATGTTATATTCCTTTTAGAAAATGGTACAACCCCCAATGCTGTAAAAATTGCAGTTCAATAGTCATTGCAATTTTTACGATTTTACCTATCAAATAGGCTATTTATAGTTTCTCCCACCACTCACATTATGAGGATTTGAGATAAGCTAATCGGAGAAAGTATGTGTCTGTTTGCCAATACCATCTATTATATTATTAAAGTGATACAATATATAAACGGTTAAGGCCATTTACCAAATAAAAATATAGGCATATGGCATATCAAAATGAAGCTTAGAGTGTGTAGATTTGCCGAAAAGTGTTGATATGGACGAATTCCCTAAGGGCTCTGCCCCACATGTGATTTCCAAAGGGGTTACGCCTTGCATGTTTTGGAAGTTAACGTTATTCAATTAATTTAGTGAACAACAGCTGGCCAATGCAATTGACACTATAGTTTGTTTGTTTACATTTTTGTTTACTTATTTTATGATTTACTTTTATGTTCTTAAAAGAGGTGTGGTGAATGGACAATGAAGCTATTTCTAGCTGTTTGATACAAGTGAGTGATTAAATGTGTTCAACACACGATTAATATGAGATTAACAAACCATGTATTTTGTTCGTACCAAGAGGTTGTCACCGATCTTTAACAGGTCGCCATTTCATTGAAAAGTATTTAAGTTAAGTATTAAATTATTAAAGATGTCGTGAAACAGAGCGGCGAGTTCAGGTACAACCGTAAGGTATGACGGTTCCACTGCCTTTAACATCCTTTCAGATAACAATTTCTCGAACTTGGGCCCTTTAAATGAAATAGGGAAAGTCAAAGTTGATTAAGTTGCCTTGTACTCAGTTTTCAAAATACTATTATAAATTTATAAGCATTTGTTTGATTTCAGGCACAACGGGACAACCCATCAAGCTGCAAGCTAATTACTTTAGCTTGGTTAACAAGCCTGATTGGTGTTTGCACCAGTTTAGAGTTGATTTTAAACCAAACATCGACCTAACATCCGAAAGAAAAAGTTTGTTGAGGGTTCAACACAAGAATATCGGTTGCCAGTACATTTTCGATGGAACTGTGATGTATTCAAGTTCTCGAGTTGGAAACCTGATGAAAATCGGAGACGTAAGTTTTTTTTTTTATCTGGCAAAATATTGTTGGTTATAAAAAGGAAATTATGCCTCACAAATTCCCTGTTCTATTTTGTTAAGTAAGTCAATACTGATTAGTTAACTTGAAAATATATTGATGTAATTATGTTTCTGTGGAACAAAATTTGGGTGTATTTTACAACACAAAAAATCTGAAATTTTCCGTATCAATCTTTTTTTAGGTTTAATTTAGATTAATGGAAATTATAGTCCTATGAACTTTTAATAAAACTTAAAATTCTTTCTGCTTTCATTTAGATAGTTTTAGACTCAAAATAATCAGTAAATTATAGGCTTTAATTTGAGCTATTGATCGTTTAAATCAGTTAAGTTCAAGATACTGTATTACTCAATCAAAAATCATAAATTTGATTATTTCTCAGATATTATATTTATTTTAACGCTGCGGAACAGCATGGGTCCTCTAGTTTACTTTAAAATATGCAAGTTTGCAAATTGCTCAGTGTAAAACAATTGATTTCAACTTCTTAAGACATTAATAAAAATGTGAATAATTATAGGTGACGTTATCCCTGGTTTTATATAGTATACAGTACGTTGCAGAATTGACTGGCAAATGAGTGTAATCCAAATGTAATATTGCTTACTGGCTTAATGATAAATCAAAATCAGCTGTATTGAAGTTAACAAAAATCAGCAGTAAATGGCTTCTAATGCTATTCTCATGGGGAACATTTTACGTTATATCTAATTTTTTGTTAAAATTTGGGGGATTTCACTATTTTTCCTGCCGTCACGGGTTTGAGACCTTTAATTTGAGTTCTCTTCCCTCATTCTACGACTTCCCAGTCGCCCACAATTTTGACGCAAAGAATCGAATCCTTATATATAATACGTGAAGGTGATTTCTACGAAACACTACTCCTCCGTTAATAATGGACAGATCTGTACAAACGATGTGTCAAAATGAAGTATTGTTTGTGTAGATGCCCCCTTTCACCAACTCCTGTAATAAAAGTCCCCGGGCTTTGCCCCTCAGGCCATCAAAATCCCAATGTATTTCTTATGGATAAAAGATTTTGTTTACTTAAACGGATGAATAATTTGTATTAATTACAGCTGTTCATAGTAAACACTTGATACACACAAAAGCGTTTGTTTTCAGTTTCGATAACTGGAGTGGAGTAATTGATTACATTATCTTTGAGTTGACACTTTTAAGCAATCGGAAATTATGACTGTTATTCGTTTTGAAATAACGCCCGTCATACTTTGCAATTGCTCAAATTCTAGTATATAGATAACAGCTGATGTTAATGATTTATTGTGAGTGAATTTGGAAGGATTTGTGATTAAATTAAAGAAGACTGACCTAAAAAAATTGATCATTTAAATTCAATAGTTAGTAGTTTTTGAACTTAATAAAGAAAAAAGATGTAATTAAGGGAGTTAAAGGTAATTCATGTATGTGAAAATGTTATTTAAAAATTTCTTAAGATTTTCACATATCAGCCTACACAAGATTTGATATTAATCAAAACCAAAATGACAGTTTCCACTACTTACCAGATTAAAAACCCATAAGTGTTTCCATAACTTTTATAATAAAGGCCATAAAGGTTGAATTTTGTTTCCTAAAAGCGTTGAGGTTGGCGGATGTGTAACTATTTTATACAACAGATGTACGGATCAAAATGTTTCTATTTCGTGTCCCTTTGCAGAGCACGGGTACAACAGCTTGTATAGTATAAATCTATTATAAATAAATACCCTATGCCCTATGTCTATAAAGATAAATTATTTGTGCGGTTTATTGAATTATGTTATTTTTGTTGTCAGGAAAAAGAGTATTTCTCTGAAAGAGCTGATGGATCTGGACAAGTAACAATTGTCGTCAAATTGGTCGGTGAATTGCTTGTTGGAGATGCGCATTACTTGCAATTTTTCAACATTCTAGCACGAAAGTGTTTCGTAATGTTGGGTCTGAAACTGATCAACAGAGATTTCTTCGACCCTGTGGCCAAGGTTTGTTCTACAGTCTTGATTTAATTTAGAAGTTATTAGTTTAATACAGCTAATACACGGTAATTTGAATTAGTTGTTAAATACTTTACTCTTTGGAGTTGTGTTTCTGTTGCTAATATTGAGTTATGATTTAAATGTTCATTTTTGCATTATTGTGAGTTGTAATTGAAGTATTAAAAAGAGACAGCTCTCTGATTAATTATTATTTAACACGTTCGTTACTGAGTGTCGCATATATGCGACGCCGCGGTCATTGCCACAGACCGAGGTATACATTTGAATCTTACACATAGACTGGCTGTCACTTGGATAACAGTCCACACAGACCACGGGCGAAAACCTGTAAAACAGTGATCATTTACATTGTAATACGCTACAATCGTGTTTGTAAATAAATTATTCTTGTTTCTTTGTATTTTTTATAACCTTTTGTAATGTCGCATATTTGCGACGCCCGGTCTACAGCAAAGACAATAGTGAAAATTATCACAGTTTTCTTAAAATAGACTAAACGTCGCATATATGCGACAGTTCATTTTTTGTGTTTTAAGGTAAAAGTAAGTAAAAAATAAACAGATTATTCAAGAACAGTTATCAGGGTGTATACCAACCGGGAAAACCGGGAGAACCGGGAAATAACCTTGAATTTGAAGGGACCTGGAAAAAACCGGGAAAAAGCCGGGATTTTTGGTCCGATTCCGGGATTTTTATTTTAGCCCCGGTAGAAGATTGTAGTCGTAAAATGCGTCTTGCCGCGATTGCGGGCGACGACGATGACGTTTCCGTGACCGCGGGAGACGACGATGACGTTTCCGTGACCTCGGGAGACGACGATGACGTTTCCGTGACCGCGGGAGACGACGATGACGTTTCCGTGACCGCGGGAGACGACGATGATGATTTCTAAACGGCCGCGTGAAATGCTCAAGATTTTGCCGCGATAGTGGCCGACGACGATGACGTTTCCGCGACCGCGGGAGACGACGATGACGTTTCCGCGACCGCGGGAGACGACGATGACGTTCCGTGACCGCGGGAGACGACGATGACGTTTCCGTGACCGCGGGAGACGACGATGACGTTTCCGTGACCGCGGGAGACGACGATGACGTTTCCGTGACCGCGAAAGACGACGATGATGATTTCTACACGGCCGCGTGATATGCTCATGATTTTGCCGTGATTGCGGCCGACGACGATGACGTTTCCGCGACCGCGGGAGACGACGATGACGTTTCCGCGACCGCGGGAGACGACGATGACGTTTCCGTGACCGCGGGAGACGACGATGACGTTTCCGTGACCGTGGGAGACGACGATGAAGTTTCCGTGACCGCGAAAGACGACGATGATGATTTCTACACGGCCGCGTGATATGCTCATGTTTTTGCCGTGATTGCGGCCGACGACGATGACGTTTCCGTGACCGCGGGAAACGACGTTGACGTTTCCGCGACCGCAGGAGACGACGATGATGTAGACACGGCCACGGGAAATATTCATGATTTTGCCGAGATTGCGGACGACGACGAATATGACGTTTCCGTGACTGCGGGAGGCTATGATTATGTCTACAAGGCCGCAGATGTTCATGATTTAGCCGCGATCGCGGACGACGACGATGACGTTTACGTGACCGCGGGATCAACGATGATGTTTACACTGCCGCGGGAAATATTCATGATTTTGCCGAGATTGCGGACGACGACGAATATGACGTTTCCGTGACTGCGGGAGGCTATGATTATGTCTACACGGCCGCAGATGGTCATGATTTAGCCGCGATCGTGGATGACGATGATTACGTTTCCGTGATCGCGAGAGACGGCGATAATGTATACATACCGCGGGAGATGTCCAGGATTTTTCCATGATAACGTAAGACTGTGATGACGTTTACGTCACTGTGGGAAGCGACCACACGACCGCAGGAAATATTCAGGATTTTGCCACCGTTGATAATGTGTTCATAAAAAATTAAGATAATATTCAGGATTTTGCTGCTATCGAGAGAGAAGATGTTTCCGTGGCCTTAAGTAATGATGATAATGAAAATGATTACTAAAATAAGGATTATTACTTTTTCAACACTAGCTCACTATGGACTTTGAAACAAATTTGATGTAAGTTTATATTGAATACTTAAGCTGCAAGTCTTAAATTGATTGTAGTTTAAGTGGAACCAAAGAAATACTCGGGAACCTGGAAAAACTTTGAAAAACCAGGAAAAACCTGGAAAAAACCTGGAATTTCACTTTAATAAAATAGTATACACCCTGAGTTTATAACTGAACAAATATAAAAGCTACATAGGATAATGCAGCATACATACATACAGTGATGCAGAAAAGTAAAGACCAGTTTTTCCAACTATTATATGACGTCACCAATCATCATATCCACAGACCAAGCGGCGGCACTGCAGGGAATTCAGTGCCTTCTAATAGACCGTTACAAAGATATAAGCATTTTAATAACATTAGAACCCCGACGCAAATATGCGTCGGCAGTCTATTTTAATGTGACTAGCCGTCGCATATATGCGACAGTAGTCTATGGGTGGAAACCGGCCGTCGCATATGTGCGTCGCTGGTCCATGTGAATGGAAAATTTCGTACTATTGCAGTAGCGAACGGGTTAAGCTATTACTAACCTATTTAGATTTTAATCAAATGTTTATGTGAATCACAACATTATCATTTCAAATTATTTGATAATTTAATTAGCAGTCCTTTGATGTAAACCTGTCGTCCGCATTATTTCTTTATGCCGTAAACTAGTTATTTCCAGTTAATAATCTTAACTTATTTCAATATATTAAACAAATTTAAATAACCTTTTAACTCTTAACTTATCACTACTAAAAAAATAAAAACTTTTAAGAGCTAAACTTTTAATTACAATAAATAAAAATGTTAAACTCGATACTGTTTAAGTAAAGGTTCTAACAGAGTAGGCTTTCAGAATACTGTCTGACAAACTAGTTAAAATTGTCATCTTACTTTTAAAATGTTAGCCTAAATAAAAAACTCTTCCCATACTATGTTTTTTGTTAACACTCTAAGGTCTTTAGCCAGATGACTTTGGTTTCGTTGTTCTTTAACCATTATTTTTAGATCATCAAAAGTGCGGCATCTTGACATTGCTACGTACAATGCCCCATGCTGAAAGCAGGGCTCTGGCATATAAAGACCAACTTTTTCAAGTGTCTGTCCTTGACTTTTTGTAATGGTCATGGCAAAAGCGACTCGACATGGGAACTGTCGACGTTTGAATTTTAGGGGAAAAATTCCTGCTGGTTATAAACTTAATTGGGACAGTAACACTTGTTTTCCAGCCGAACTTTCAGTACCTAATAATTTCAAGATTTAGGACTTTGTTATTCATCTCTTTACCATTAATCTGGTTCCATTAACCAGTCCTTTTTGTGGTTTTAAATTCCTTAGTAAAATTACAGTTACACCTTTTTAAAGGCATAATTTTTGAGGAGGTAAACCTCTTGGTGCTAAAGTGTGAAGAAATTCACCAGCTACATATAACTGGTCCCCCTCTTCTTGAATCAATGTGTCCACTGAATAGTAAACTTGACTGTCATTATTTAGTTGCTAAACTATTTTATTATTTATTTCGTCACAATGTTCATTCTTTGGTGAAAGTATTGCATGATTTTTTGTCTTTTTTAAAGCGTCTTCAGAGAATCCTTCACTGAAGATTTTGTCAATGATATTTTCATTCACAATACATTGTGGTGGAAGACGTATCAATGAATCACCAAGATCATTATGATAGCTCTCATGGCCATTCCCTATTCGTAAAAGATATTCAGCAAATATTGATTCGCTTGGATTAGCTCTCATGTTTTTAGCGAGTGGAATTTTTTTAAACATTGGCCATAAAGGTGATCTATCCATTTCATCAGTCATCATTGTATTTGAAAGTAAACTGATAAATAAACAGAAAAAGTAAATATTAAAATGACATAAGGGAAAGAGGTTATTTTTATCAAGACAGATGTTTTTAAAAGGAAATGAATCATATGTTTGATAAACTTAACTAAATTTTCACGTATATTTAAAAATACATGGAAACTTTAACCCTTTCCGCTCGTATGTCGCGGTGGCCGCGACATCCATTTTTAACGCTTCCACTCGAATGTCGCGGCTGCCGCGACATTGTTTTAAACGACTCTAAACTCACTTTATATAGTGCAGAAATGTTTAAAATGATAAGAAAGACTGATCAATGGTTTTCTCAATTTATTTTAGCTGCCCTTGGATCAAAGAAAACAACCACGAACGATTTAGTTGGCTTTGAAATAAGTTTGGTTCGTTTCGTGTTTGTTTACTTGAACGTCTGCTTCTGCTAGTTTATATTCTTTGTTCGCAGCGACTGTTATCGCGATTTTTATATTATATTTTACTTGTTTTGGGTAACTATTGTTTAGTAAACATTTTTCAGTGGTTAATTACCGATAATTTAGTAAAGTGAACGGGTAATTTTGTTTATTTCACGTTAAAATGGATGACGAACTTTCTTTGTCAGACTCCTTGACCAGTAAATTATTTGAAATGAAAATTATATTTTTGGTTTACTATAACAATTTTGGTGTATTTATATTTTCGGTTTATATGAATAAATAGGCCTACAGATAAATACTGTTCATCTCAGTTTACTAATCCTGTTCGAAAATTATAGGCAAAAGAACTAAGAAACAGAAGTCGCCGTGGAAACCAAAAATTCCAAAAACTCAAATTTTAGAAATTTACATATTTTATTCATAATAATACAAGTAAATGTTTATGTAATTGATATTTTTTGTTTGTTTTTACATAAGGAATGTAAATAATATTTTTTCAATACTCTAAAAAAAGTTTTATATTTTTATTTTGCCTAAATATATGGATTTTGTAAAAATTTATTTTGCTTTTGTTTATTTATGACCATACCGAAAATAAAATTTTAAAACTAAAATTGTAATTTTATGTTTATATTGTATAATAATTTATGCTGAATAAGAATCAATAGCTCAACCTTATTAAATAACTAATATTAGATTAAAAAAACACTAAAAACCAAAAACATGCCATTTTTCTTTAAATTAAATGCAAGTGTGAGGGAACAGCCATGCAAAATAATTCGAGTGGAAAGGGTTAAAGTCCAGTGGGGCGAAGCACAATGAACTGAGCGTGACAAAAATTATTCCATAACTATTGTCCTGTTTTAGAGAAATGTGCCGGAGTATGCCCTGGAAATCTGGCCAGGATATAAGACAACAATAAGACAACACGAAAACCAAGTCTTAATGTGTTCGGAAATTATCCATAAGGTCTTGAGAACTGACACGGTTTGGGACCTGTTATGTTCTATAGTACAGAACAACCCACGTGATTACAGGGTAAGGAGTTTACTTTTCACATATGTTTAGGCTTTATAGAAAGATAATTACCTAACATATTTTGATAAATAAAAAGGTTAAATTAAATACCTGCTGTACCGTCTGTGGCCTATTCTTTTCAGTCAGTGATAAAGGTTCTTTTTTGAGCTGTCTAACAAGTTAAAAGTCCTTTTCATCCCTGGGGCTGCGAAGAATGGTGAATTGGTAGAAAGCTGGAAAATGGACCTTTAGTAGGAAACCTTGGTCGACTGAAAAAACAGATTACTGGCTGTACAACAGGTATTTAACCTTTTTATATTTGTTAAAAACTGTTAACAGTTGCTAAACATGTTTATATTTTGATAGTTACTGCCCATTTAAGTAGCAATTAAATACTTGAATCTTGGAGGTTATTGCGTTAAACTACATAGATGTAAGTGCCATTGATTATTTAAGTTCCTTGAAGAAAGTTTTTACTGTTAGTTACATTGTCAATTGTATGTTTTAGGCTGAATTCACTAGAGTTGTCATGGGTACCATAGTATTGACAGGCTATAACAATAAGACATACACAATCACAGATGTGGACTGGGATCAGGGGCCTGACTCCACATTTGACAAGAATGGGGTGCAAGTCTCCTACATGAATTACTACCGTGAGGTTTGTTGTTTTTTTTATTTGTCAATGTTTTTGTCAACTATTATGTTTGTTGGCTTTGCTCTGGTCTGTCCACAAAATTCAGGCACTTTAAGAAGTCTATCTGGGTTACCCTGCCACTTTTTTTCTTAATGTATGTTATAGCTGATTGACAGTTTGAGCAACCTAGGACAAAAATGTATCTCCTTAAAAAAAAATGCTCAACCAGCCACCACTGTTGGGGATTTCCTTTAAAATATACTTACTTTGCTACTCTACAATTTGGCGAACTTCATTAAAAATTAACAAAGTATTTGAGTATGTACATACTCGAGAATTAAGTAGTTAATTACAACAATTCATTCACAAATAATTTATTTTTGTAAAAAAATACAACCGACTTCAAATGCTCTAAAAAGAATGAAATAATTTCAATAAAATAAACTTTTGTATTAGGCAAGCTCACGTATTTTAAGTCGGCGCGGCTCTATGATGATTTTTGATACAAAATTGAAAGGGGGTGTCCATATTGCAGGTGACTATCTATAACTAAAGTTGTTAATCTGCATGTCTTTTTCATAGTTATGTGTTAAGTGTTATTTTATTACCGTAATCAGAGATCGGCATTATAGTGGTATTAACGAGTATCTTTAAAGAGATTATAACGCATTTAAATGTTTCTAACTTGGAAAAGTAACGTTTTAATACTAAACTAGCTTCTTTTCCCTATTATAATATCAAAATAAATTATTATCCTATTCATATAGAACATTTGTGTGTAATATTTTCATAATGCATTTATTCTGAAGTAAACATAAAATACGAGAAAATATTTCCTTTAATATATAAACAAAACAGTTCAGTAGGTTTTTTTTATATATTTATGTTATCCAGCTACAATTTATTAATTTCAAAATACACACACAATATTTAATTTCAATCATATTTGCAGTTTGAGCCGCGCCGACTTGAAATACGTGAGCTTGCCTAATACAAAAGTTTATTTTATTGAAATTATTTCATTCTTTTTAGAGCGTTTAAAGTCGGTTGTATTTTTTTACAAAAATAAATTATTTCATGATTTTTAGTGACTGTATAATTTTTTATATATTAATTACTTGAGGTTTTTTGATAAGCAAAACTGTTTGAAACAATCAAAAGTTCCACAGAACAATCATTATTTTAAAACTGCTTGAGTCACCTGTTCAGGTTACATAATCAATGGGTATGAAAATAAACATTTTTAGATATTCCTTAAGAAAGAAAGAGTTGTCCATTACATTAGGCCTAGTGAAAAACTAATGGTCTTTTCTAGATACATTGAAATGTCAGACATCACCGTTTCCTGCAATCGGTGTACTTCTACATTATAAAAAGAAATACAGTAACGTCTAAAGCCTTTTGGAACAATATGAAAGTTATTCCTCAGCTACCAGCACTAAAAAATCTCCCAAAAGTGGAAAATTGGTCGTTAACACGTATGGTACCTTTGGAAAATATTATATGAAAGATTGGTTCAGCTAAAAGTGGTGTAAGTCATGTAGGGGGTTTTGTTTGCTCAAGATATAGCCTAGTCGAAATTGCAAATCATCTTCCTCTAGGACTTTCCGAAGCAGGCATAATAGTATTGATATGATATAGTAACTGGGTAGATAATATCAATAAACATTCCGCATCTGCAAATGCATGTTTTGTAATTAAAATATTTAACACTTTTAAGATAATTGACGATTATGCACTGTCACACTTCTTAGGTCGTGTAAGGAATAATTGCATTTAATTTATATTTATACCTGTTTTACGAATGCTTTGGTTTTCACAATACACCTTTATTTGTCAATATCATACAGCTATTCACTGAAACATATATGATTTTGTAAGTCAGAATATGCAATACTAAAAACAGAATTACTGTATACACAAATCAGGTCAAACGTTAAAATACATATATTATAGTAAAAAACAAAATGCACTTTTCTCAATGTAATTCATTTAGGCTCCATGGCAAGAAATAGTTTATTGATCAATATGAAGCAACTGTTTCATGAAGAATTGTCTGTAGCTTCATTTAAATGGTTTCAACTAACAGCTGTAGGAATGTTATTATTATTTATTGCCTTATCTGCACAAATGTAAACAATCTGCACAAATGTAAACAAAATAAATGTTGAATATTTAAGGTTTTCAGAATTTTTCACCGAAACAAATATTATACTTAAAAATAATGTATAAGGTACCAAATAGAAACTCTCCTGGTTATTTTGGTGGTGGAACCACACTGATCGGTAAAAGAATCACAGAGAAATTGGTGAACATACATAGAAAAAAAAAAACATCGCCACAAACAAATTGAGAACCTCCTCCTTTTGTTGGTAGTGGGGAAGTCGGTTAATAATCAAGGTTTTTGAAGGGAAAAGCACTGGGCATAGAATGAATGAATAATTAATTACTAACTTATCTAAGTAAATAGTTCCAGTTGTTGAGAGGTCAAAAATGGTTCACAACACAATTAACTTGATATTTCGCTCCCACAAGGGGCTTCTTCGTAAGGGAGAAGTGTAATGGCAGGTACCAAACTGGCACTATTTAAACTAACCAAATCAGTCTTGCCAACACATCTTCTGCAATCTCAAAAAAATACACTAAATGCAAAGTTTTGATATCACAAAAAGACGACAATCTCTTCAGAGCAAATACTCCTGAACTAGCTTTGGATCAGGTCTCAATTACTGATGTCTAATTAAAAATGATCTTACAGAGGTATAACGTCCAAATCCGTAATGTGAAGAACCAGCCATTGTTGGTGTCAAAGAACCGCGGAAGGGATCGTCGCGCGGCTGAGCTGACAGGAGCAGGTGCTGGGGGAGATCCCAACATCGTCTTGCTCATCCCGGAACTTTGTCAAACCACTGGACTAACAGATGAAATGAGGTGAGCGCCTAACTGGTAACAAGTGGAATATTCTGTGATTTTTGTAACAAAATTAAAAATTTCCTGATTTTGTTCCTTGATTTTAAAGTTCTGCTGAGGAAATGTTTATTTTCCATATTTTGGATTGAACACTTACTCCAGTATGTCTTGTGCAGCAAAGTCACAGTCATCTTAATATATGTTTGCAGTTTGCAATTACACCACATTAATCTCCCGTCCGGTAACAGCAACATGGTGAATTTTTAAACTTCTCAGACATCTTGCATTATTGTTAAATATCCTTCGATTCCCAAAATATTTCCAAATTGCTCATTTCCCACAAAAAAATGTGGGAATTAAAAATTTTTCCGATTTTCGAGTCATCAACATTTTTACTCTAATATATTCAGCTTTGGTATTTCACAATAAAACTGTTTTGTGAATGAGTTCAGCAGTTAATTTTAAACCACATTGTCTGAATTTGTAAGCAGAATGAAATCATAAGGGGCTAGCAGCTACAGTAGACATATGACCACCTTGCCTATTTGCAACAACACATTTGTCCCTGAGGTCCATCCTAATGTTCTGTTAAGCCCCTTAACCTATATTTATAGCAAATATATGTGGAATGCAAACCCGTAACTAAAACCAAAAATGTAGTTTTCAAGTTTTAACCTGTTATACTCTGGCTGACAGTGGATACATACAGAATAAGCAACACCCCAGATACTTTGTAAATCAAATTTGTATTGACAGAAATGTTTAAATAAATTAGAGGTGTGCGGATATCCGAAAAATCGGGTCGGATTCGGTTCGGTTCGGATATCCGTATCCGAACCGAGCCCAAATTCGATATCCGACACTATCCGTTATATATCCGACTTTTTCGGATAGACAATATATTTTGACGTTTTGGACAGAAAACCTCCATAACCACCATTAGTTTCCCAGGACAAAATTACAGCAATACGTTTCCAACGACCTAACAGCAAACGGCAAAGAAGCCGTATGATGCAATACTGATAACTAGTTTAGTCGTTATCGGCTGTTTTGCTTTAGATTAGATTCGTCTGGAACGAACAGACATAAAGCAGAAAAGAACTACCATGGTCAAATGAAAGTCAACTCGTGCTTGTCTTGCTCCTGATACTAGGGGCGCTGCGTAATAGTTTTTTTACAGTACTGTTTCAAAGTAGAAAAATCTAGCCTACTACTGTGATGTTACGTAAACAATAGATTAAATGTTTCCCGAAAAAAAGTCAGAATAGAAACAATAGAAAGGCAACACAATAGAAGGGTGGGAGGGGTTGGGCAATGACCTCGAAAGGAGCGCGGGTAGTGAGTCAAGTCGGACCGGAGGGGGAAGGGGTGGGTAAGACCTTGAAGCTATATATAGACTTGCACTACTTCCCTAAACCGAAAGGACTGGCCGGCGAGTGGTATTCCAATCACAGGACAAGATACGTTGTTTTTTGGGTATTCATTGCCTGGTTTGACTTTGGATTGTCTTACTGTGTAGAAACTTTGAATAATAAAAAATAAAGTTAGAACTAACCACGGTTATTTAGCATTTATTGTGTACATATTAAATGATTAAACGATAGGGACCATGGATATATACAAACTTTTGTCGTGATTTTAATTTCAACATCAAAATACAATATTGCACAATCGTGATATTTTAGGTCATTGACCTTTATTATGCATCCGGTATTGCTGTTTCAGAAGAGAAGCACGTTGATAAATTATAAATTGATATTCCCGTAGTTAAAAAGAATTATTTTATAAACCTATAAAACAAAATCATAAAATCTTACATAAAGATAACAAAAAATAACGGAAATTGTAAAAAGGGAATAAAGATAACGTCATTATTCTTTCTCTTTGTTCTTCTATTTCTTGGGTTTCCCTTATCACGCATTTAACGTCGTTATCAGCTTTTATGACATAGCGCACAGCAGGGGGTAAAACTTGACGAAAATCGGTAAATTTTTACCTATTATTTAATTACCAATGAATCTACTACTTTATTGGTATTTGGTACTGTATTAATAATCGGTCCAAATGGCCGATTTTTGTCAAATTTTACATCAACTTTATTTAAATTTCAAGGTGAATATTAATAAAACAATTATTACGGTGTAAACGCGGCTTTAAAAGATTGATTTGTGGTATTGGGTTCCCCACTGAGTGCAGCCGAGCGGCACTAATGAGGGTCGGACCTTCTTGGGGGTGAACAATAGACGGCTTATCAGACCCTCCCCTCCCCCGTGGTCTGGAGAAAGCTTTTAAACAAACTATTGCACAAGTGCGCGTGACTTGACATTGGGCTGCTTCAATTATAATTTTGTCAAATGAACTGTGATGTTTCAAAATCAAAAACAATAATTTGGGACCATACTGCTTAACAATAATGGACTGCAATTATTGTTGAACATACAATCCATTATTAACAAACTAAGATTATACGATTCAAATACAATTATAAAGATTATCTTGGTATTTTACTTGGGGTAATGAAGTTATGTCTAGGCTAGTGTAATTCTCGGTTCATCAAGGTTCTACTGAATTATGTTTGGCAGTGAATATGTGTAGAATGCAATTTATAAATTCAGGGATACACACCTTTTACACAGTTATAAAGTCTAATTGCCCAACATCAAATCGTGAGCTAGAGCCAATTTAGTGCATTATGATTCTACACTTGGCAAACCCACAAAATGCCACTTAAGCCCAATAATCCGTTCCAAAAATGTAAGGAAATACAATGTGAAAATAAACTTGAGATCGAACTCCTTGGCTTGTGAGAACCAGGAAACAAGATAAATCATAACCTCAAGTAAACAAGCCCAAACGTTTGACACCAGTCCTGCTGAGCTAAGGTGTTTGTGAAGATTTCGGCTGCTAGCGTACTAAATTCAAGCAACCAACTTTTGAAAATAAATGTTGTGAAATGTTGTGAATGAAATTTCACTATCCGCACACCTCTAAAATAAATATCTGTTGATTGATTAATTTGGTAATTTAATACGCTCCTTGGATAATCCAACTTTTTCACTTTTCTCACCGTGGTCTGCTTCCCTTAATTGATGGATTAGCTTGGTTGTAATGTAATGTACTGTATTGCCTTCGGAATAAAAGGATTGCTGTCGTATACAGAGAGTTTTTACTAATAAGTTTTAACACAGGTTTTAGTACTCATCTTAAAAATTCTTCCAAATACCTTACTACTAATTGTTTTCCTTCAGAAGTCCTGACGGATAAATAATTCACTGATTGGGAACTGCCATTGTCAAAGTCATCTTAATTGTCACATCCTGTTTTTTACAATGCTCTGGCACAGCCAAACAAAACAGGTGACATTGTCAAACTATACTAAAATAAACTAGCTTAATGGTAAAAATAAATACATAGTAACAAAAAAAAATTCACGTTGATTTGTCTTCGAGAAACTGATTGTAAAATCCTATAATAATTCTTTTCCAACAAAAATTCTGATAAGATATTGAAAATCTGTATGAAATTCTAGAGTTATAATTGTGCCGATTATTTTCACTCTGAAGTTTTTCAAAATTTGATTTCACATACAATAAACATTTAAGGATACACAAATTAGGGACCATTAGAATCTTTAGTTCTTTAAAAAGTTGATTGCCAAGGAGCGTTTTGCGGGCTTAAAAGCCACAATTCTAAGTATTCTTTATCATTTGAAAACATACTGAATTTAACTTCACGAAAAAAGATGTTTACAATATTATAGATATTCTTGTACTTTGAGTATATTTTTGACTCAGAGAATTGTGTTTTGATAAAAATATTCCCTTCTTTGTTATAATGAAAATGTGTTAAAATCATACTTTCTGTTATAGATCCAATTTTCATCTTATGAAAGCAATGTCAACTCACACAAGGATTGGTCCTGCAGACCGCATTGACCGCCTCTTGGTTATGAATAGGCGGCTGAACAGTGAAAAGCGGGTAAGACTAAACTTCTATTCCTTTAAATAGGCCTAATTTCTAAAATAACAAGAAAACACATTTTTAAATGTCATAGGTGAAATTATTTTTAACACATAACCTTTTATAACCTACTAGCTGAACCCGGCAGACGTTGTCTTGCCTTTGACTATTTATAATCCCGCGGGCTTTGCCCCGTTTAACTTTTTAATTTTCAAGATGATCTCGTTCGCATGGCTCAATCACGTCCTGGTTGAAGTTCGTTCGCTACGCTCACTCACCTTTAGGTTGGAGCTCATTCGCTACGCTAACTCGCCTCCAGGTTGAAGTTCGTTCGCTACGCTCACTCACCTTTTGGTTGCAAATTAGCTGTTGTCATGAATGTAAAAGAAATAATAGTGCTGCACCCTGTTGGTAATCCTTTTAACTTTAATGCTATTGAACATCATTGAACAGAACCAACTTGTTTAATTGAAACAGCTGTTAAGATTCATTAATTCCATTTCTCATAAGGTTAACATGGGAAACTCCAGAGCCACTGGGGCGGAGCCGATTGGACGGATCACGAAATTGATGGTGTATAAACCTATTCCATGACATTCTACACGTATGTATCAAGTTTCGTGGCAATCGGTTCAGCGGTGTCTGAGTTTATCACTGCCAAACAAACAAATATATATATATATATATATACAAACATCCTTTTTTATACTTATAGATATAAGATAGGAGAGTATGTCCCGTGGTCGGAAACTCAACCAAAAGTATGTATTGTCCAAACTTCTCTATTTTCACCCCACGCTGTAAATAAAACATGTGATTGGAATTTCTTCCATATTTGTTTCGATTTCCTGTTTATATTTTGTTGTTTTGTCACTAGCATGGCAACCCATAAGACCCATGTTAATTTTTTTTTAATTTCAAATTAATTTTTTGTGCTTATTTTTGAGCCTATTTTAATAAATTTATAAATATATTTTGCATATCTACAGGAAAATATCTTTCATTTGGAACCAACTGCGTGTTTTTCGGTCCAGTAGTATGGTCAGGCTAGCTGTCAAAAGTTGACTTGAGACAAGTGGATTAAATGATGCATGTCGTTGTTTGCAAGCTTTTGTGTATTTTCTTTTTTTTTTGTCATCGTCTGTTTTTTAATAACTTGTTGATGAGGAATTGAAACATAAGATGGAGCATCAGTGTCAACGAATTAAATTGAATTAAATATTTTACTTTTATATAAAAAATTAAATCATACTACAATGAATATAAAATTGATTGTGAATAACATATTTATGTTATTTCAGGTCCAGCAAGAATTCCAGGAATGGAATTTAAAACTAAATGATCGCCTGGTGGAGATCCCTGGTAGAGTTTTACCACCGGAAGGAATTGTACTTGGAAACAATATGACAGTGCCGTCAGGGGACGAGGCGGATTGGACAAAATCTCTGAGGTCAAACCCCATGTTTGTAATGCCTCAAGGTAGTAGCCTTAACCATCCATAAAGTTACCATAGATCTGTTTCATTGAGTCAAAAAGTACAGTAGAATTCCAATTGTCCTGACTCGAACTATGCACATCACATACTGAAAGCATTTTATAAACTAAAAACCACATTATAATAATCCTCATTAATAATGAAGAAACAAAATCCAACTCCTCTCCCGTAGTCGTCGTGTAGACATGATCATAATCTCCCACGGTCACAGAAACATCATCTTTGTTTTATGTGATCTTGGCAAAACCTTGAATATCTCCTTCGGTCGTGTACACATGACCATTGTCTCCAGCAGTTATGGAAACATAGTCATCATTTTCCTTGACGTGCCAAAATGTTAAATGTGTCCCATAGTCATGTAGACTGATGCCCCTTTTGATGTTATTGTGACCGTGAGAGACAATGGTGATATTGTCTCCTGCAGTCATGATAATATCTACAGTATTTACAATACATCCCGATTTTTAGGCCTGTTTCCTTTAAAGATATTTCTCTGTTAAATGTTGATACAAACCTCACTTCAACCTCTGACGTATCTTTAAAGGTGGTTTGAGTCGTTGGGCCATCATAGTTCCGTCCCGCAGCGTTCACGATGGCCGATCATTTGTTGACACCCTCAAACAAGCTGCAAGGGGGATGAAGTTTATGATGAGTGATCCGATATGGTAAGTACGCTGAAGCTACCCGTTCAGTACTTGAAATAAATAAATTGAGTGATGAAATAAATACATGTAAAATAGATTGGTTTACATTCTATCAGTATATTGATCCTGTTGCTGTGTGAGTAGACTCCCTCTAGTTCGGCCACCTCGGGACCAGACCACTGGCCAAACTACAAAACGGGCGGACTAACCGGAGGTAGTGCATTTTACATAAACAAAATACAAATACTATTGTTGCATAATTGTGATATGTTAAGTCATTAACCTTGGTTCAGTAATCAAAACTATAATGTTTAAAATCACGCTTACTTAAGCAAAACAAAAATTACACAACACTGTACGTACAGCAATAAATCACGTAAAGAACAAAACAATAGAAAGTCTAGTACTGCAAGCTACAGCATAGGCCACTACTACATATTGGTTCATAACATTGAATGTCGATAAAAACATTACATAACTCATAAAATCATAGTAGACCTACTTAGACATAAAGATAATAACGACAGTCGTAAAATATGATAAAGATAGAAATGGATGACGTAAAACCCTACTTATTCTCTCTTCTTTGTTCTTCTATTCTTTCTTTGGTTTCTCTTCATCAACACATTAAACCAGTTGCCATGGTAGTAATCACCCAATCACAAACTGTTGTGAGATAGCAAGCGCACATCAGACATTACACAGTTGTGTAAAGAGGAAGAGCAGATTGTCAGCGCAAGCGGATAGCTTGACCTTGAAGCTAACGATGGCTATTTCTTTGTTTTGTTTTTATTTATTTTTGTCAAAATTCTTGGTATTTTTGAGGTTATGTAACATAGTTTTACGTAGGTAATATGCAATAATTCACCCATAGAAGCAAACAAAACCGTCAACTAAACTGACATGAATTGTTTACTAATATGGCCGGAAACTGGGGAGCGAGCTGGTGTGGTGGCTAGAGCGCGGGACTTTGGTCCTTGAGGTCCCGGGTTTGATCCCCACCAAGTCACCAATGGATTTTATTAATGGATTTTTAAAGTGACAATGCCGCAACCCCTAGGTCTAGCCTGAAGTAATGTGAAGAACAATCCCAAGCTCGTGCCTAGCGCCCTATGACAAAAAAAAAAAAAAAAAAAAAAAAAAAACTGGCCGGAAACTAAACAATCAAGTTGAATCCTATCGAAGGTCTTTCGCCCGAACGATATGAGTTGTCCTCCTGAGACCGGGCCGGACCATCTGGCGGCCGATCCAACCGAAGCTGAACTAGAGGGAGTCTACTGTATATTTTTTTAAGTAATATGTGATTGCCGTATAACTTGCTTATTTCCACTCTCTTCTGTTGTAAACAAAAATCAGAATTTTCAAATTTCAAGATGGGTTGGCCTCTGAACAAAGATATTGCAAGATTTAAAAGGTTTTGGTTACTTGTTATGTCAATTGATCTTGTTGTGTTATAAATAACCACAAACTACTTGGCCAAGTTTTTTTGTAAAAAAATATATAAATGTCGTTTTTGTATGTGTTTTGGGTTACTTCTCACAGAAAAGTTAAGTATAGACCTAAATGTGACGACCTCAATCATGGATTAAAAAAACGGTTTTTTTTTTATTCTTAACCTGAAGATTTGCTCTTAGCAACATGAAACAGCTGTAGTTATTTGTAAAACCAAGTAATACTAGTGTACCTGGTAAGTATTTCAGGCATTATTTTAAAACAAATAACAGTCATAATTTCTGATGACTTAAAATTATTTGACTCATAGATTATGAAAATAGGCCTACTCAAGATGTACATAACAGATCGATATAATCAACATTTAATTTAAATAGTGTTTTCTATAAATAGCCTTACTCATAGCCGCAATAGGTTTCCTGACACGTGTCCAAAAGCCTAACAGCACAATTGAGATTCGCTCTAACCTTTCCTCTCCCCTTCATGGGCAAGTTTTCATTCCTTTTCTTTCTTAGTTTTTGTTTGTTTTTTTTTTTTTTTTATTTTAACGCCTGTATGTATTCCTAGTTTTTCCTTAGCTACTTTTCTAAACGTTTCAATTGTTTCCTTGTAACTCATCATGTTTTATTTTCTCATCCCTAGACCTATCTTATCCAAGACTTATTCCTGTTCTCTCCTATTTGTCTCTTGAAGTGAACAATTTATAAATACGTGACTTGTGGTTTTTATTTCTTCACATCTACACACTTCCTCTTCCACCCAGTCTCTTTCTGATGTTAGGTATATATACGAACGTTTACCTTTAAAACGTTAACATAAAACACTCTGCTCCCAACGCATTTGCCACTCGTCTAATATCTCCTCTCTTCTGTTTTTGATGTAGTCATACCCGCTTCCTTGTCTTCCAAAATCAATAGCTTATGCAGTGATTGTCCAACAGTCCTAAATTGAATGTGAAATCTTCAGTTGGAGAGCACAAACCCAACACGGAAGGGTGCTTGCTGTATTCGGCTATCTTCTTGTCTACCAGTTAAAATTTGTCGGCCTCCTCCTATTGGCCGTCCTGGTCAAGGTCTTATAGTCTCGATTATGTCGAAAGTTTTTTTGGTTATGTTTTGATTTTGTGCAAAATTTTAGTATAACCAGCTGTTTCAAATATTAGTTTCAATTTGAAAGTATTCGTCTGTTCAAATGTAAACTAACATTTTCTCCACAAGAATAACATGGGAACTTTGAAGGCCACTGGGGGCCCTGATAGAATTCTAAAGTTTTTGTGTTTGATGGCAAAACTACATGCTAAGACCTTTCTAACGAAACCTTGGACATGGTGATCGGCAGCACCACCACTCCAAAACAATTATGACAAAAATATGCCTAGCGTATTAAATATATAGATTTCTACAATATCTAAGATCATTTCACATGATAACCAGGTTGGAAATGCCCGATGACAAGACGCAGACTTACGTGAATTACCTGGATCAGTGTATAACGCGCGACGCCCCGCAGCTGATCTTTGTGGTTCTGACTAACAATAGAGCAGATAGATACTCTGCTATTAAAAAGAAATCTTTGGTGGACCGAGCAGGTTAGTAATTCACTTTTAGTCTGTCAATAGTACTTTGTAATTTGTGTATCTTGTATGTATGTTTTGTTTGAGAATATAAAGCTGTTCAGTGAAGTCTTAGTGTCACTGAACAGCTCAATTCAAACAAAACTATTGGTATGTTGATCCTTTTCCAATTATCATTATGGGTTCTGTATACCAAACAGATGGCAAACTTGTTATGTTATATAAATGGTTATAAAAAATGTTGAATCTCGAAAAAACAACCCAAAACTTGAAATCCAAATTCAATTAACCCTATTTACTTGCTGCCTGGTTGTGGCTATTCAAAATAAATAAATAAATAAATATTACTTTATTGTCACATACACAAGAATACATTCCAAGTTTCTAGCGCAGCTAGAGGAACAGGTGACATTGTCAAATATGCATAATATAAAACAAAGAAAACATTCCATAAATTAAAATAGTATTAAAGTAAAATTAACTATAAACTGAGTTATTGCCCAAAGTGTGCACCAATGTTATTGTCATCCAAAATTTAACAGTACACAGTTGTACAATATCTTTTTCCTACATTTACCTAACAATGTACATGTTCTCTCACTGATTTGAGAAAGCAAAGTGGCCAATTCGCTCATCAGTGAGACAATGTTAACATTGTCTCACTCTAATTACTTTGTCTCACTCCAGATTTGCAACGCGAAGGCACGAAATAGTGAGCGCGTAACATGCAGGCAACGTCGTATGCGCGCGAAATACGTTGGCAGCACTGGCTGTAAATCAGCTGGTCAGCTGTTGTACTTAAAAGTTCACTTCTGTGTAAAAATAGGTTATGTTTCTTCACCAATTTATTTGTTTTATGGTAACTGTAGGAAAAGTATAATGTGCATCTCGAGTTCAAAGTACAATTGCCTCACTCGAGAAACGATTCCTCACTCGCCTACGGCTCGTGAGTAAGGATTTCTCTCGAGTGAGTCAATTGCTCATTTTTATCACTAGTTGCACAAATAACTATAGTTTAACATTTAAGAGAATTTTAACAAAATGTTGTTTGGTGCTTGAATTTAGCTCAAGGCCCATTAAAGCAAAACAGGTTTATCAGTAGCAGGCCTGTTAGCAATAAAATATTAGGCCACCCTAATATTTTATTTACCCTAGTGTTTTACTCAATTGTGAGGAAAACGGTTTCACCTTTGAAACAGTTTTCCTCATAACTGAGTCAGCAAATGGCACTATAATTAAAAGAGTGAATTGAAAAGAGCCAAAAAATAGTTTTTTGATAACATCTTAATAAAATAAATAGTCTATAGAGTAGGTACAAAGATCGGAGTTTCGTCATTAATAACTGAACCATAATAACTGATAACTAAACTAGAACTAAGATTTAAGTGGAGTACTTAAGAAATGGAAGGGGTAGAAGGGATCTTATCTAGTAGCATGTCGTTTTATTTCACTAGTCCCAAACTTGAGTCTAATGTCAAGTTGTAACGTAGCCGTAATAGTGGTGACGTTACATAGACCACAGAGAATAATCACACTATGCGACACAAAATGTTACATTTCTCGAATACAAAATTATTACATTGAGCAATCGTGTTTCACAGTGCCAACGCAGGTCTTGCTGGCGAAAAATATGACCAAAAAAGGTGTCATGAGCATCGCCACCAAAGTAGCGATTCAAATTAACTGCAAGATAGGCGGAGCGCCTTGGTCTGTCCAGATGCCACTGGGGGTAAGTAAATACTTTGAAACTGTCTTGTTCTTCTGAAATTGTATAAATTATTCACAAAAAATTGCTCAACATTGTCAGTGGTTCGTTTTGTAGAATAATATCATATATCTAAAACTACACATAACATTTTACGAATGCACAGTTACCAAGAATGTGTTATGGATGGAAAGTATCAATTTGTTCATTTCTTTCTATTATATTTCAAGATGCTTACCTTAATGAATTAAACTTTTTATCACACTTTTTTATAGGTACTAGAGCTACTAGGTAAGAAAAAATGGTTTTGAATAGTTACAGAGCACTCACTTAATTGTTTACTACTGTTAATGAGTTGTGATTTGTATCTCAACCTGAATTCAACTTATATTTTCCAATGGTTAGTAAATATAGGTGAGTCGGTGGCTCAGTCGTTAGCGCAACAGACTTTGGGCCCAAGACAGCGATTTCATGGGATCGTATTCTGGTACCTGACACGTTTTTTCAGTACAGTTCCTCCTTGTACTATGTAAGCTCACCCCTTGCTTGGCTGGATAAATTCCACACACAGGCCTTTGTGGCCCATGTGGACAGGAAAATGCAAGATAAAAGAGGCCTCTTAAAATTTTTTTAAATCATATAGTGGTGCTAGATTTTCTAAATTTGTGTCAAAATCCTTTTCTTTATTCTGTGTACACTTAGAAGTCCACAATTAATTAGAAGTAACATATAGACGTCCTTCATGTTTACTATGTTTTCTCAGGGACTGATGGTCATCGGCTTTGACGTGTGCCATGACTCGAAACAGAAGGGGAAGTCCTTCGGGGCAATGGTTGCATCCCTTAATAAGCCGATGAGTCGGTACTTCTCTGCCGTCTCTCATCATGGTACCGGCGAGGAGCTTTCTAACGACTTAGCTCTCAACATCATCAGTAAGTATACAACATCAATAACACATTTTATAACATTTATAAAAGCTGGATGCGTACAGTAGAAACTTGATAAGTCCCTTAAGGGGATTAAGACTTTTTATTCAAGTTAACTTCTTGTAGAGATTTGCAATAATTTGTAATAATGTAACTAAGGGTAATATAAAATGAAGGGTATCTGAAAACAATACTTGTTATCAATGGTCTTGCTATTGAGGTTCCACTAGTACTACTGACTAGTAAAATATTAGCACACTAGCCCGACCTAGGCCAGTTTTACAGTTGCACACACTATACTCAATGTGAATTGTGGTTAAACAAATTTTTGTAACTTTTACAAGCGTTAATGTGGTTATATTTGATAGAAAGAAACAAAAGATACAATTATTTCACAGTTTTTTTGAACACACATAAATGACAAATAATAATTGTACTACAGTCGGGACCACGTAAGTTTGCAGTTGAGGGAGGAGCCTATATACCATATGGTTTTGAATATTTAAGTAAATAAGTACAACTGAGCACCCTGAATATTATATTTTATAAAAAGAAGTGACATGTTTCGGACATAAGTCCATTTTCAAACTTCAAAATACATTAAACACTTAACTGTTAGTTGTTTATATTGTTTGTTTGTAAATAAATATAATTTATATATACAGATGATTTAGACAGGATTTGGAAAAACATTTTTGTTACTGATTATTTAATTTTAAAATTTGGTCAAAGATTGGGTTTCTTGAAGGAATTTGGCTATTTAAAATATGATTTGGATATTTAGATTTTCTTCGTATATGAAATATTCTTCAGTTGAATCCATTCGATTTCCTTTGTTTAAAACTTTAAAAATTGTCATGTTGTTTTTTAAATTTGTGTAATTGTGGTTGGTCGATAAAAGGTGTTCAGCAAAGTTTGATTTCATGGATGTTCCGTTGTTACTCTTAAGAGCTTGAATGTGCTCTTTGAATCTAGATTTAAAAGAGCGTCCTGTCTGACCAATGCAGAAGTGCTTAAATTAAACACTTAAATTAAAACGTGTGGTTTTGATTTGACCTATGAGAAGCGTGCGGTGTTGCCAAATCTAATAAATTTAATAATACCAGCTGATTTGAAAATAGTGCTTAGTATATTTTAATTACTGTTGTCAACGGGCGATGTGGCAACGTCGCACTAGCCTTGTCTTGTGATTGGCTGCCACCAACTGCAAACTTATGTGGACCTGACTTTAATAATTAATTAGGTTGCATGAGTATTATTATTATTTCTGACTGCTGATAAAAGCAGTATCATAAGACGGAGTTCAAAACAGGATTTTTCAAGGTAAGTTTTTAATAACTGCTACCACTTTGCAATTTTTTTGTATTGCTTGGAATTTGTTTCAATTGGTCTGTGATCTTTTTTCAGAGGCCCTTGAGTCATACAGAAAATACAATAAAACCTTCCCTTCACACATCCTAATCTACAGGGATGGCGTTGGAGACGGTCAAATACCGTATGTCTTTGAACACGAGGTCGTCCGAATTAATGTATGTAATGTTTTACATCAATCAGTGATCAATCAGTAAAAAAAAACATTTTTTTTTTAACTTAAAAGTTAATTGTGCTCCTTTTATGTAAGTTATTAAATTGATAGTTCAAACAAAGTAATCTAGACACTTAGCTTAGAAGTGAGATGAGTTGTTTACAGCATGTTTGTGGTCAATGTGTCTAGTTGTTGAGGTAGTCTTTGTTGATGGGCTGTCCGGTATCGGTGTCATGGCGTCGTCCTCTAAGCCGACCTTCCTCTCGTTTGCGTTTGGAAATATAAGGCAATATGAAAAATACAAAGGCTAACATACCAGCAGAATCACCTCCGAGCAAATAAGTTTGATTAAGTCACTATAATATCGGACTAAACTTTCGGCATTAACTGACGGGTAGCGTGGGGTCCTCCTTCGGTAACTTGTGAATAAGTCTTAACCACGACGATTGGCAAAGGAGTTTACTGCAACACAACTGGTAAAGAAGTGAAGCCGCCTGCCCCGTCCTCGAGTGTGCGCGTTAGATACTCAACCCGAGAACTTCCCAACACCATGAAAACGGAAAATTTCCATTTTGGAGCCTAAAAGTGTTGCAGTAGTTCTCCACCCACTTCAACTGGCTGCGCAGAATACCGATTTGTGTCTTGAACCACCCTTTACCCTTTACCTTCCTCAACAACAAACATGGCTCTCATCTCGCCATCTTGGAATATATTACAATTAATCCTTTTTTAAACCATTTGACCATAATTTATCCACTATATTACAGTACCTAACTGAAACGTCCATTATTGAATTTAATATTGACAATTTATTTAATTACTTTTCCAATAATTAATCATTTGTTTATGTTCGATTATTATTATTTATTTAATTATTTATTGGACCTGTTACAACTTTCTCTGGATTTGAAATTTGAATTTATGAGGAGCTTGAAAATAAGAACCCTGATCTAATATTTTAGACAAATTTTCTCGTGACCACCCATAAGAATTAAAACAATCTTGCCATACAGCCAAACTCTTTTGTCAAATCAGCATCTATCTGCAGAATTAAAATAAAAAATTAGTCATGATTAACAGCTTTCACAGTGTTTGGCATTTTGCAAATCAATTAAAATAAACTCAAAATGTAGGCTTACTCAGATCATTTATTAAAGATTTAAGATTGAAAGTAGTATTTTTTTACCATAACAACTAATTGATTTACTAAAAACAATAACTGTAGGTATGAATTCATTTTAATCTTGTGGTTTTAGTTCATCATCATGTTTTTTTGTACATGCACAGTTAGTTGGTATGAAATGAGCTGACCCAGAATATAAATCAGTGACAACTAGTTTAATTGGTTTAAATGTTATAACATTCCTGGATTGTAATAATCTTGGTTTTTAAGAAGTTTTCTAGTAATGTGAATCTGTGTGTAACTTATTCTTTGTTCTGGGTTTTAGCGTGCCATCAGTGAGGTCATTGGCCAGGCTCCAAAGCTTTCTTTTGTCATCGTTTCAAAGCGTATAAACACCAGGCTGTTCGCTAACAAAATGAACCCTCGGCCTGGAACTGTTGTGGACGATGTAATCACCCTGCCAGAAAGGTTTATCTTTTTACATTATTACTATACTAAACGGGAATTCCGTATTACATCACACAACTTGATGTTCACAATCATTTTTAACTAGGCAAAAGTAAAACTTAAAGTAAAAAAATGCAAGATTAAAATTTAAGCATTATTTTAATTGGTCAACTTCACTCTTTTCATATGTCAAAAATGTGTCATAGTGTATTAAAATGATCGCCTTGTTTTGATTCATTGTAATGTATACCTGCATAGTATTTTTGTTTGTAGATTTTATTTATTTTTTTTTTTTGCGATGGTGCTCTTAAGTGGTTTGAAGTTTGTCCAATGGAAATTTGAACAATGGTGAAGTTTGTCATTTGTCATAGTAAGGATTACCTTGTCGACCACTGTTACAAAAAGTCATAATGGTATTATGTCCTGTGAAACTATGGATGGTTATGAAGATTTGTTTTTTTTTTCTTCAGACTAAAACATCAAAATACACTGTCTGCACAAAAAAGTTGGATATCTTTTGGATATCATGGTTCTCGTCAGATTCAGGGATATCCAAACTAAACAGAATTCAATAGAATGTGTGCACACCTCTAATCATAATGTGTTGACGATAACATAATTATGTTACCTGAATTTTAGTCATTGAATCAATTCAAACTCAAAATTAATGAATTAGACCTAAATAGTTTTAAAGAGCAATAAACTCTTAAGAGATTGTTTGAATATATATTTTTTTTAATTTCAGGTACGACTTTTTCATTGTATCACAGTTTGTAAACCAAGGAACTGTAAGCCCAACAAGTTATAATGTCATTCACGATACTATGGGCCTGGACGCTGACAAATTACAACGGCTTACATACAAGATGACTCATATGTACTACAATTGGAGTGTAAGTATAACTTACTTTCCCATTGACAAGTACGATTACATATGCCCCTTTGTCTTGCAAGCAATATTATCTACAAAACCTCTATTAACTCATTTTAGAAAGAAACGCCTATTTGTAACTTTCTACATTTGGAAAACTACAATGATTTTGGTAAAAAATTACATAGTTTACACATTAATTACAGCTTTCACATTCTTTGCATTATATGTAAGGTAAGGTAATATCATTGACTAATTGGTATATAATAATAATAATATAGATTTTATATATAGGTTTAATAGTAATAATAAAATAAATACTGCATTGTTATTTATTTTTGTTAATATAGTCTATCCTGTTTTTATTTTGTTCTTGTTACAGAGTTTATCATATTGTTATTTTTCTGCAAGTATTTATCTGTTTTTCATCAGCATTTTTCTGCCTCTATTTACTCAAGTTGCATGGTTTTACTGTATTGCTATCATTATTGTTCTATGTTGTTATACTGGTTTTGTTTTTGTGAATCTATTCTATTGTTAAATTGTTCTGATAGTTTGTTATTTATAGTTAAATAATTATTTGACATTATCTTGTATGTCTTGTTCTTTAAATCTTGTTGTTTCCAATCTTTTTCACTACTTTTGTACTGGCCAGTCATTTGTCACAAAAACACACTGTATTTTCTGCTGTATAAACTTTTCTGTATTTTCTTGTAAAAATGGTGTATCCGTTAATAAAAATAAAAAATAGGGTGTTTCTGAACTTTCTACCGACCTTTTAAGGTATCATCTCTGAATCAAATTGGAACTTAAGTATCATAGTAAAAATTTCCAAAACTCTAAAGTTATTTCCACAACCTATTTTGTTGTTACTCACTATAATATTGTGTTATTTGTAAACGGATCTTGTACTGAATTGAAATTTAGTACATTGATTATTAATGCAAATACCTCTTTTGAGAAAAATATCATTTTATTATACTTAGGCGTTTCAAAACGGTGGTCATTTAAAGTTTTTAACTCAAATAACATAAAAACTAGATATGTAGGCTTTAACTAAGTCATGTTTTTTAGATATATATTAAAACTAGCTGTTGTACCCGTGCTTTGCAACGGGAAGAGAACACGAAATAGAAACATTTTGATCTTTAAATCTGTTGATAAAATAGTTACACATAAGCCTTTTAAAACAAAATTTAACATTTATGGCCTTTATAGGATAAATGTAAAAATATAATCGTACTGTACCCTGTTGGTAAACCTTGTAACTTTTTAATGCTATTTCAATATCATAGAACCTACTTGTGTAGTTGAAACAGCTGACAAAATTATTTTATTCCTTTTAAGTATGATTACTCATAAGGTTAACATAGGAAACTCCAGAGCCACTGGGGCGGAGCCCGAAAGGACTTTTGAGATAGAAATGTGTCTATATGTTAATCGGGAATGTGAGCTATCACCATACCAAATTGCAGCCCAATCCGACCAGTATTTTTCGTGTTTACTTGTCACAAACATACATACATCCAAACTTTCTCATCCTACTAATATTATAAACTAGCTGTAACCTGCGGGCTTTGCCCCATTTAACTTCTTAATTTTCAAGATTATCTTGTTCGCATGGCTCAATCACGTCCTGGTTGAAGTTTGTTCGCTACGCTCACTCACCTTTTGGTTGCAAATTAGCTGTTGTCATAAATGTAAAAGAAATAATAGAGCTGCACCCTGTTGGTGATCCTTGTAACTTTAATGCTATTGAACATCATAGAACAGAACCAACATTGAAACAGCTGTTAAGATTCAATAATTCCATTTCTCATAAGGTTAACATGGGAAACTCCAGAGCCACTGGGGCGGAGCCCGAAAGGATTTTTGAAATACCGGTAAGAATATGCCTATATGTTAATCGGGAATGTGAGCTATCATCATGCCAAATTTCAGCCCAATCCGACCAGTATTTTTCGCGTTCACCTGTCACAAACATACATCCATACATCCAAACTTTCTCATCCTACTAATATTATAAATGAGAAAGTTTGGATGTATGATGTATGTAACCTAAAGGTGAGTGAGCGTAGCGAACAAACTTCAACCAGGACGTGATTGAGCCATGCGAACGAGATAATCTTGAAAATTAAGAATTTAAACGGGGCAAAGCCCGCGGGTTACAGCTAGTTTATAATATTAGTAGGATTCCAAGAATACCAAATTCCAGAAAATTTGTTGTCCCGATACCAAAAGTTACTGGAAAGTCCTGAATGATTATTGTGTGGTAGGTTCTAGTCTAATCATATTGTGAGCCCCATTTCAGGATATTTCTTAGAGTGGACTGCATTTTTTACATTCCATATCCGTTTGGTTAGGAAAGTAAACATGTTTTTGTAAACCGTTAATGTGTTTCATTTAATGTTTCTAAACGTGCCATTTGTGTTTCAGGGTACAGTCCGAGTGCCTGCGCCTGTGCAGTATGCACACAAGCTGGCCTTTCTGGTTAGTCAGAACCTTCATCGTCCGCCGAACCCCAGTTTGGAGGAATTGCTATACTTCCTGTAAACTGAAATGTCTTTAGAAGTGACTTAAAAAGTGAAATGTGTATTGTTTTTACACAGAAAAAAAGTCTGCAATTGTGTTCATATCAGTACAATTAATGATTACCATTGCAACATGGGTGATTTCTACATTTTACTTTTCATAGGTATTTGTTCACTTTTCTTGTACCAAAGTTTGTAAAAGTTGTTTGTTGTTAATGAATGTTAAATTTTATATAATATTTATATAGATGTTTTTGATTGCTGCATTTAGTGTAAAAGCTATTTTAAATAGGCCTATTGAACAAAAGTGTTAAATAGTTTGTTTTAGATGGATGAAGGTTAGATTTATAATTATATTTATAAAGGGTTAAGGTTAAAGCACATTCATGATTGTTTTTACACAGAAAAAAAGTCTGCAATTGTGTTCATATCAGTACAATTAATGATTACCATTGGAACATGGATGATTTCTACATTTTACTTTTCATAGGTATTTGTTCACTTTTCTTGTACCAAAGTTTGTAAAAGTTGTTTGTTGTTAATGAATGTTAAATTTTATATAATATTTATATAGATGTTTTTGATTGCTGCATTTAGTGTAAAAGCTATTTTAAATAGGCCTATTGAACAAAAGTGTTAAATAGTTTGTTTTAGATGGATGGAGGTTAGATTTATAATTATATTTATAAAGGGTTAAGGTTAAAGCACATTCATGATAATGTAATACCTTCTTTTGTATACATGACATATTTTTATACTTCTTGACTGACTGTTCAAAATAAGTGTTTTGTAAAGAGAAACTAATTTTAATAAAATTGTTCTTTATAAACTTTATGTTGCTTTAAAAACTATGATCCTCCTTCATTTTTTTCAGTAGATCCCTTATCAGTCTTATCACTACACTTCCTTATGATTTCATAGTATATTAATTACAAAATAATACTTTAAGTAAAGCAGGAAAGCCAAAAGACTGATAGAAAAAGTACAATGAAGTGAAATAATTTTGAATTAATGCTAAAAAATTTAGTCATCTGATGGCTTTTCTAGCCAAATGTAAACTTTTTGGGTGTAAATAATATTAAAAATTAACCATTGGGGGAACGTAAATTAAATATTGGTACAACACCGAGCATTTTTGTGACAAAAGGTGGCGCGTAAATAATTGACATGTGTCCAGCCTACTGGGAAGACTGAGAGTTATAGCCTACATAACGGTTTTTTGGGCAGAAAAATTATGCATCGGATGTGAATTTGGTACTGGAGTTTTTTATAAAAGCCAATGAAATTACCATAAATAGGGATAGCAGCTAGCTTACCTTAGAAGAAATACAGGTAGGCCATAGAACCTACATAAAACACAATATTACATTCCCAAGGGAGACTTTGTCAATTCTATGGAAAACGGGTAAAATTTTTGCTTTCTTTTCTCTACACTTGACAAAGTTCCTCTGGGGTACAAAATATTGTGTGCTCTATAGCCTACTTCTATTTCTTCTAAGGTAAGCTAGCTGCTATCCGCCTTAATTATCAATAAAAAACAAAACAAGTTAAAACTTTCAATTTATTTATAGCTTTGCAAAAATTGCGGAATTAAATAACATGTTGCTATAATGCTTTGATCAATTGTCATATGCTACCTTTATTGATGGAGGAGGGTGGTTAAGAGGGCACAGAAGAGAATGAATTGGATCATCTGTGGTGATTATTCCTGTGTTTGTAGTTCAAATAATTTAAATCTTCATTACAGGAACAATAATGTAAACAGTTAAGTCTATACTATCTTATAATATTTTACATATTTTTTTGTTTCCTAGATTCAAGAACTTGAATTATGTAATATTTACCTTCTTTGTTGTTGCCTGAGATCTTGAAGGTAGGATGCTTTTTGTGTCACCTTTGCCCTTTGCCTTGTGGCTCTTAAGGTGTCTTCTTAAATGCATCTTCTTATCACTACAACTATGTCTATATCAATAACAAAATATTTTCATATAAGGTCAAGTTAATTTACAAGGACACTAAGCGGTGGGAGTTTTCTTCATCGGTTTCATTTCTTGGGAGTCAAGAATTCAACAACAAAGGTGAATCTATATGATATTTTGTCCTATTTTTATATAAACATAAGTACAGTATATTTAATATTCTTTTAATTTTTAAAATGTAATGTTGTAATTGATTAAGCAGTATAAAAGCAATAGCACTTAGACCAGGCCATAGACTAACCAACACAGGTTTAATCTATGCCAATGAATTTTGAATAAGGTTCCCGTTGTTAACTGGTACCAGTATGCAACCTATGTACCCACGTCACCTTTAACTCCAGGCCGCGGCCTTCGAAGTGGCAACGCAAGTAGGGTTGTAACTTTGACTATTAATACTTCAGTATCCAATAGTGGGTCGCCGGAAGACTGCCCCCGGAAAACTACCCCCCAAGCAGGTTCCTACGTCATATTGACGTCAGAGACTGGGGGGGGGGGGCAGTTTTCCAGTCACGGACACTCAAATTTAGTTGTCAAACAGTTCTAATCTAACCTAACCTAACCAACCAAACTTGCTGTAACATTTCGAAAATCTGTTTAATATTCACCACATGCCTTTTCTATTATCCAACCCCAACGGAATTGCTTGAATTAAAATTAAAATTACATACCATGATTTGTCTAGGGGGGGTAGTATTCCAGTCGCGGGGGTAGTATTCCAGTCGCGGGCACGGCTTCCATATTGGTTAGTTAGCAGATATTGTGACGTCACGTTTCACCTGGGGGGGTAGCTTTCCGGGGGATAGAATTCCGCATCCCCTCCAATAGTCAATGGTTGTAACAGCTGTTTTCTTTGAAAGCAGCTAATGGTACGAAAGCTTGTGTATAAGCAGGTGTTTACAAAAGCTTGGTTACTGGGCTATGAAAATATTGACTCAGATTTAAATGTAATTTAATATAGGTTTTCAGTTCATATTGTTTTGGTTTTCAATTCCGAATGTTTTATTTTCGATATTTTAATAATAGTTTACGTTCATAAATTTAAATTTAATAGCTATTTACCTTTACCCAACCCGCCATGAAACTTCCCTATGCCAAAAATCGTGATGTAAACAACCTCTTTACTTCCGAGTGAAGTAAAGTTTCAAAAACTCACTCGGTGAAGTAATGAAACCCATTTAAATAACATTGAGTGCTCAACTTAAAAAAAAAAAATACCTCTATGGAGCCAACTACGTTCAACGCTAGAAATCAGCTGAGCGCTTGAAATTTATTGTTATATGCCTTAAAGAATTTTCCTAACCTAGCTTTTGTTTGTAAAAAAACGTTACTTTTAGAAGATGAGTGAAATGGATAATGAAAAATATTGTACGTAACCCCCTGTATATTGTCGGGTCAGGTAAAATCTTGTCCGTTACACGTTACGCAAGAGCACGTTTACATCACTTAGGTGAATTATGCAACTCGCTTCCGCTCGTTGCACAACATTCACCTGCGTGATGTAAAAACACTTTTACTACACTTGTAAGGTAAATAGCTATTAATGTCAATGAGGGGTAGCGAGCTGGCGTACTGGTTAGAGCGTGGGACTTCAGTCCCCGAGGTCCCTGGTTCGATCCCTGCCAAGTCACCAATGGATTTTATCTAAGTGGTAATGCCGCAACCCCTAGGTCTAGCCTGAAGTAATGTGAAAAACAATCCCAGACTCGTGCCTAGTGTCCTAGGACAAAAAAATGTCAATGAGCTCATGTAACCTGTCTGCCTGGCACTAAACAACACTACTTGCGACGTTGCCAATTCTACCAGGCCGCGGCCTGGAGTTAAAGTTGGCCGTGATGTACATGTACCCCATGATTTGCTTTAAGCAGTGCTGCCATCATTTGCCTGAACAAAACCCCTGGGGGTGGGATTAGCGGCCTTCATAGGAGAAATCTTTAATTAAAAGCACGTGTGTCTATTGAAAGCCATAATTTATTTTTTTCAATACATCTACTGTAATTATTGCAATTTATTTTCATTAAAGTGGTTTATTTGCTTAACGTTATTCATATTTGAAACTCGGCTTTTAATGGGTAGAGAGATAGTAAAAATATATTTTTTTCTGGAACGATTTAGCGTAACGAAATCCAAATTCAAATTCCAACTACCTCAGTTCTAGAAATACAAGAGGAGAACAAAGAGCAGTGACTCCACCTGATAGAGAAGACCCCTGAAGATATGCTACACAAGGACAAGGTACAGAAATAATTCGTACGGTGATTGAGCGGAGCGAGCGTCCCAAGCGAAGCTCTTATACAGCACACTCAATAATCAAAATAATCAAATACAACAACAAAAATATAAATCTAGTTTTTCTACGCAGTCATCAACAGGTTCTTCTTTTTCAGTGGCCGTGGCCAGTTTTTAGCGAATTTCCCATAAGGGAATAAGCTATTACCGTAGTACTCATGGTAAGACCTGGACCCGGGACCGATTTACTTTTTCGTTTTGAGGTCCCTAGAGGCCAAAAAAACCATCCGTTCAAATTCAAATATATATATATATATTTATATATATATATATTTATGTATTAATTTAGGTGTTCACGTAAGGGCTGCTGATATATTAAACATTTAAGTAAATAAGTACAACTGAGCACCCTGTATATTATATTTTATAAAAAGAAGTGACATGTTTCGGACATTAGTCCATTTTCAAACTTCAAAATACATTATACACTTAACTGTTGTTTATATTGCTTGTTTGTAAATAAATATAATTTATATATACATATGATTTATAGAACTAGACAGGATTTGGAAAAACATTTTTGTTACTGATTATTTAATTTTAAAATTTGGTCAAAGATTGGGTTTCTTGAAGGAATTTGGCTATTTAAAATATGATTTGGATTTTTTAGATTTTCTTCGTATATGAAATATTCTTCAGTTGAATCCATTCGATTTCCTTTGTTTAAAACTTTTAGAATTTTCATGTTGTTTTTTAAATTTGTGTAATTGTGGTTGGTCGATAAAAGGTGTTCAGCAAAGTTTGATTTCATGGAAGTTCTGTTGTTACTCTTAAGAGCTTGAATGTGCTCTTTGAATCTAGATTTAAAAGAGCGTCCTGTCTGACCAATGTAGAAGTGTTCACAATCAGTGCAGTTAATTTTGTAAATGCCAGATTTGTCATAGATTTCTTGATGTTCTTTATTTGTATTAATATTATTTGTTATCATATTGAAAGCGTTATTTTTTGTTTTAAAGCCAATTTTGTATTCAGAATTTTGAAAAGTTTTTCTTGTAGTCCTGTTAAGAGTTGTATTGAATGGGATACTAATGAATTTCTCTTTCTTCTTTCTTTCTTTGTTGTGTTCTTGATTTTGATTATATTTTATATATAATTTATATTTGATTATGATTGATTTGATTTGACGATAATGAAATAAACTATCTCGACCTAACTATTTCAAAAAACATAAACAAACACGATTTCAAAATTTACAGAAAACCAACTCAATCAGACCTAATGATACCATCAAATTCTAACCATCCTTGGAAATACAAACTATCTGCTCTCAGATCCATGCTAAATCGTCTTTTGAACATTCCAATGACAAAGAAAAATTACGAGATAGAATTAAATAAAATTAAATACTTAGCATCAAGGAATGGATATAAGCAAAACATTATCTACAATATGATTAGAAACATCAAAAGAAAGAAAAATCAAAATCAAGAACACAACAAAGAAAGAAAGAAGAAAGAGAAATTCATTAGTATCCCATTCAATACAACTCTTAACAGGACTACAAGAAAAACTTTTCAAAATTCTGAATACAAAATTGGCTTTAAAACAAAAAATAACGCTTTCAATATGATAACAAATAATATTAATACAAATAAAGAACATCAAGAAATCTATGACAAATCTGGCATTTACAAAATTAACTGCACTGATTGTGAACACTTCTACATTGGTCAGACAGGACGCTCTTTTAAATCTAGATTCAAAGAGCACATTCAAGCTCTTAAGAGTAACAACAGAACTTCCATGAAATCAAACTTTGCTGAACACCTTTTATCGACCAACCACAATTACACAAATTTAAAAAACAACATGAAAATTCTAAAAGTTTTAAACAAAGGAAATCGAATGGATTCAACTGAAGAATATTTCATATACGAAGAAAATCTAAAAAATCCAAATCATATTTTAAATAGCCAAATTCCTTCAAGAAACCCAATCTTTGACCAAATTTTAAAATTAAATAATCAGTAACAAAAATGTTTTTCCAAATCCTGTCTAGTTCTATAAATCATATGTAAGATTTATTTACAAACAAGCAATATAAACAACAGTTAAGTGTATAATGTATTTTGAAGTTTGAAAATGGACTAATGTCCGAAACATGTCACTTCTTTTTATAAAATATAATATACAGGGTGCTCAGTTGTACTTATTTACTTAAATATTTAATATATATTTATATATATATATATATATTTATATATATATATTTATATGTGTCCGTTAGCGCGATAACTCGAGCAAAAATCATCCGATTTTGATGAAATTTGGTACAAACGTGTAAACCTACGTTTATTCGAACGAGTTCGCGAACCAGCATGATCGGACTATGGGAACAGGGGTTTATGGGGGGTTTTATGGGGTAAAAATTGGTTTTTCCCATTTTTGAACCTAAAAACTTAAAATTTAGCAATTTTTTTTCAAACCATTTTGTAGAGCTTGAAAAAACAAATAATTTAGTATATTGAAGCGTTATTATGCACCTAATGGTTACGGAGAAAATTCCAAAAATCGGTCAATTTAAAATTCCCATGTTATTCTTATGGAGAATAAGTAAACTGTTGTAGTTTGCTTGTTTATGCACATATTTTGATCAAATTTGGAAAATGTATTCATTTCATACTAAACTATTAACATTTTACAAAAAAACACCTTCTTACCCTCCCTGTTGCAGCAAACCTAAGTACTCGTTAAACTAATGTTATTTAAATAGGGAATAAATGTGACATTTTTAAGGAGACATTTTAGTGTAAATCCGATCAGGCAAATGGAAATTCGCTTAGTCAGCAGGTTTGCTGCGGCGGGGGTATTTTCCATTGCAATAAGTGATCAGTCAGGCTCAGCTCAGGCTGTAAACGCTTGTCTTATTCACACATCTTACATCTTACCCACTTAGGCAACAATAAAATCTAGTTTTTTTAAGTTCAACGTTCAATTATAACATCTTCACCTTCAATAATGCGTATCTTAATGCGTATTCGTGGTGGATTAGTGTGAAATGTATACTTCTATACGTATAATTTAACCTACCCCTACCATCTATGATCAATGTATATTTAAATTCTTGCTTTTCCTCAGAATCTGTAAATATTACACAGCTGATAGCAAACTACAGGATACAACGATACAACCTAACCCTAACCTACTAGTAACAGATCCAATTCCCCTTCCCCATCCAAATTGTCAATAATTAATTCAATTGTCAAAATAATCTGCTTAAACTTGAAAGTGCTTGTTAGTTGTTAGAAAAGTCAACGGTTTAACGGATTGAGTATTATTTGTTTGTTTGGGTTTATTTATGACAACAGTAAAAAAAATATGGATTTGTCAATTTCTGCCAGTTTTGAGTAGCCTAGCTTAGATTCTTCAATTTGTCTAAACTTTATATTAGTCCAAGCATAGTCCAAGGTAGGTCTCATTTCCAGCAATTCAAAAACAAAAAGTTAAATTAGGGTTAGTTTATTTTGAATATTTGATTTCGGATAGGCTAGGCCTATCCTATTGAAGGTTAACCTTACCTAACCAACCAAACGATATATCGATCGATATTTTCATTCTGTTGTTTGTGCCAACAGATATGGACCCCTTTAAATGTCCTAAATAATAGAAAAACACATTACTTAAAAGTAAATATAACAAAAATGCACTTTTTTGTGCAAAATTTTTAGCACTTTTTGCTATTTTAAGGCGCTTTTGCCCCTAAAGTGCTGAATGTAGCTAAAAAGTTTTCAAAAATAGGCCAAATAAGTTAATGAGAAGAAACATTAGGCTACACAATTTTTTTTTCAAAATTCGTTAGAAGCCAATAAAGTAAACAAATACCACTAAGTTAGGCCTAATTCTATTTCAATAGGGAATAAATGTGATATTTGTAAGGAGATATTTTAGTGTAAATCCAATCAGGCAAATGGCAATTTGCCTATTCTACAGGTTTGGTGCGGCTGGGGGTATTTATGGATTTACAGTTAAGCTAAAGCTACATTTTCAGAAAATGGAAGACGAAGCAGTTGTTAACAACCCGACCAATACGCTGCAATCCAAGCAATCTACATGCTCAGACATAACTGAAATCTCTTCAATGACCGAAGATGAAACCAATCACTTTCAAACTGTTGTTTCTTTCATCAAGAGGGATTTAGTGGCTGCAGACTTGAAATGGAGCTTATTTGTAGCCGCCAGTCAGAGTTACAAGCATGACTCCTGTCTACGACCGTATCCACCGATGTTTGTCAAAGATGGAAACAAAGATTTTGGTGGTTTGGTAAGTTTCTTAATTCCATTTTTAACTTAACTACTGTCGATTAGGCAGCTACATTTTTTAAACAGGCCTAGTTGAAGACTGTTTTTACACCCCAAAAAGACTGTTTTTTAGAATAATCCACCCAGAAGACAGAATTATTATTAACTTATCTCGACCATTTGAAGTCTTGGCCAAGTCCCGCTCCCACACTTCAAACGGCATCGAACATGAGAAGCACTTTCTTATATTATATTTTCCTCTGTGTTTGTTGCCTGAGTTGTTGTAGGTAAGTGTAAGATTTTTGAGTCACCCTATGCATTTTTCCACCTTGTGTGGCATCTTCAGGGATCTTCTTAATTTATCTCCTTACCACTAACACTAAGTTATAGTCTATTACTGTACCCTATTAAAAAAGATATTTGACACACACACGGTCACTAGTTTTGCAGTCAAGCCATTTTATCAATTATCAATTAATTGAGATACTGATGTCACCTAGAGCTTAATTTGGAACCGCGTCTCGTTGTACCGCCGTCTTGTTGTCCGTACGTCTGTTGTACCTCGGACCTAGGGACAACCAGTGGTAGGTTAGATGGGGGCCTACCCAACAAGTTGTACCTTGCAGATTTTTAAGAGGTACAACTAGACGTAGGTACAACTAGACATGTATGCCACCGTCAAGTTGTATCGCCCAGCTAATATGGATGGGTCTAGTTGTACCTATGTCTAGTTGTACCTACGTCTACTTGTGCCTTGTAGTCTATGTCTAGTTGTATCTCCCCTTCGATTTATCACCTTTTTAAATGGTTACTGAATGAGTAGGCCTACATAGTTTTAATGATATACCCTTATTTAAATCAGAAACTTCGTGTTCCGTGTCAATTGGGAAGCTTTGAAAAATTATTTTGTATTTATTCAACTTATTATTTTTTTTTCAACTTAGAATCGGTGATTAAAATGTTATTTAGGATACTAAACATTATCATGCAATTTCATACAATTGTTACAACCATCTTTACATTTGTAGTGCAAGTTTACTTTGTTCAACTATCTTACATATAAGTTTTCTTGTAGGAAATCAAGTCATAAAACAAATATTAGTAAAATATTTTTTCGGATAACTATCGTTGAATGTTTTTGTTTTAAGTTGTTAAATTAATCGAGCTCTGCGAATTGTTTACTGGAATCTGCCCTGTAAAATACAATAAGAAAATTGAATCAAATAAATAAAATCAAAAGCAACTTATCATAAAAAAAAAACAATAATTACAGCATTGCATAATTTGTGGAAATGAATAGGGGGACATAGGCGAAGCCTGTGCGTGGGGAACGAGTTGACATCAGTCATTAATTAATTGGCATAGTCTTATAACCTAATTAGGACCTACCTCTATAATATTATTCAATTCAATTCAATTCAATATTTCTTTATTCATTGAAGCACAAAGTACATGAATAGTGTCATTCTCTTAAATGTTTTTATATTACAATGTTATATTCTATGGATACAAAGTTCTTAAAATCTAACATAAGTTTATACAAATTACAAATGAATGCTCCTTCTAAAAAATTTAAAGTTCATCAAGGGAATACAATACCTTGTTGATGAGAAATGTTTTAAGACCCCTCTTAAATTCGACCATGCTTTTTGCCGATTTAATTTCATTTGGAATTTTGTTGTAAAATTTGGAGCCGGTATAACTTGGTTTTTTACTGTAAAGTTCTAATCTGTGGCGGTTTAGAGCAATGTTGGTTTTGTTTCTGGTATTGTAGTGGTGGTGTTCACCAGTTAACGCCAATTGAGAAAATCTGTTTTTAACATATAGAACTGTTTCATAGATGTACAATCCATATACTGTCATTATTTTTAATGATCTAAAATGCTCTTTTGAAGTTCTCGAGTCAAGGTCCAAAATAATTCTTATAGCTCGTTTTTGTAATTTTAGGATTGTTTCTAAGTTATTGATAGATGTAGCGCCATACAGAGATATTCCAAAAGAAATAACAGAATGTATGTACGAAAAGTATATTGATTTTAATGTTACTTGATCAAGAAGATTTTTTAATCTAGTTAATGCAAATAGACCAGATACAGTTTTTTTTATTACTTTGTTTGCGTGAGAATTCCAAGTTAAATTTTTGTCAATTTCAAATCCTAAGAATCTAATATTTTCTAATTCTTCAATAGGTTTCTGATTAATTTCTAGTGAAGGATTAATTGAAAGTCTTGTCTGACGGGTCTCAAAATTTATGAACTTTGTTTTATCTGGATTCAAAAGTAACTGATTGTTTTGGAAAAAATTTGAAAGTATATCTAGATTAGCATTAGCTGTCTTTTCAATTTCCTCTTCAGAATTAGCGGTAACTGTAAGATTTACATCGTCTGCATAAAGGTAAAGTTTGCTAGATTTAGTCAGCCCTGGTAGGTTTGTAACATAGCAAATGAATAGAAGGGGACCCAAGATGGATCCCTGTGGTACACCATGTTTAATAGTTATAATTTTTGACTTGTGAGTAATTTTCATTTGATTATTGAATTGGATAGTTTCTACAAATTGTTTTCTATTACAAATGTATGATTCTAGCCATTGAAGAGATTTATTTTTTACTCCGATGCTTGACAATTTATTTAAAAGTAGATTGTGGTTTATAGAGTCAAATGCCTTGGTTAAATCCATGAAAATGCCAAGAGCCTTTTGTTTTGCATCTAAACAATCAATAACTGATTCTAAAAACTCTGTAGCAGCTGTCACAACTGATCTACCACTTCGAAATCCATGTTGACAGTCCTCAAAAAGGTGATTACTTTCCAGGAAGCTATATAAACGGTTGTACATGGCTTTCTCAAATATTTTGGACATGGCCGGAAGCAGAGCAATTGGACGGTAGTTTGATAATTCATATCTATCTCCTTTTTTGAATAGTGGAATTAATTTAGAAATTTTTAGTTTATTAGGAAAAATGCCTGATACAAAGGAAGAATTTACTAAATGAGCTATAGGTTTTCTGAGGGGTAATTTTGCTTTTTTGATGAGCACCACAGGGACCTCATCATAGCCGGTGCTAAATGAGTTTTTAAGATGACTTATTATTTCGTCAATCTCTTTCTCATCAACAGGTATACAATGAAAACCTGGAATTATATAATCTGACTCAACTACTTTTACACTGTCCTTTACATCCCCAACAAGTGAATCCAAATTAGGAACAATGTTTGTGTCAACCAAATCAGTAAAATAATTGTTAAATGAATTACATATAACATAAGGGTCTGAACAACATTGATTGTTAATATGAACACTAGTAATGTGGTTATCTGCTTTTGCCTTACCGACTTCAGAGTTAATAATTTGCCAGCTGGTTTTGTTCATGTTACTTGAGTTGTTTATTTTATTTTGATAATAATTTCTAAACATTTTATTCTTCTGTCTTAGTTGTTTGTACATGGTTTTGCTTTTTAACATTCTAGCATTGTTAGCAAACTCAATAATTGATTGTTTTTCAATCTTTAGCTCTTCAGTAAACCACCTGCTTCTATGTCTATATTTTCTACATAATTTCTTAGGAAAACACAACTCAAAATAATACATAAAAGTTTGGTGAAATACATCATACTTTGACTCAACTAGAGCAAAAAATACATTAAGCCAAGTTTCAAGGCTAAGAACTTCAATAAAGTGATCTATATTTGCAGTGCTAAAGTTCCTAGAATATTCAAGATATACAGCATTATCAGGACTATCATTTTTACTATTTATTACAAAGAGTTGACCATCATGGTCTGACAGCTGAGTATTGAAACCAATTACATCGAAATAGGCATTATTTATATTAGTAAAAATATTATCTATGGTGCTTTTTGTTGTTTCAGTAATTCTTGTCGGAAAATTAACAACTGACTGGAAACCATTTGCAAGAACAACATTGTTAAGTTTATTTCTATTACCATCCTCAAAATTCATCATGTTGATATTTATATCACCCATTAATACTATGTGTTGGTATTTTTGAGAAAGTATTCCCAACAAAATATTTATTTTATCAATAAATTCTACTTCAGTTTTTTTAATAGGATTTCTATATAGGCCAACTAACAAAAATTTAGATTTTTTGGGCGGTAGTATCTTTTGAAATTCTACTAAACAACATTCAAATGTTGTTTCAGATAATAGATGATTTATTTCTTCTAAAATGATTTCTTTTGATTTAATAAAAGTTTTTGATAAAATGATTACCCCCCCCCCACCACGGCTGTTACTGCGAGCAAAATGTGCACTTAGGTTGTACCCTTTAATATTAATTCTCTCTATGGATGTTTGAGTCAGTTTGTGCTCACTCAACACGACTACATTTGGATCTATTTCAGCTAATGTTATCTCTAATGAATCAACATTTGATTTAAAACCCCTTATATTTTGGTGAAAAATACTGAATTCATTTATCTTAGTTTTATCAATATCATGTGATGGTTTATTGTGATGGTTGTCTAACTTATTACTAAAAAATTACTATTAATACTAGAATTTAACAGGTTGTTGATAGTAACAGGACTACTACTTCCTACACTGACATGTGATTCACTTTTGGAGCTTTTGCTTTCACTCAACACATCTGAGATCATGGAACTTTTATCATTATTGCAAGCACTCACAGACTCTTCATTTTTTTCAAGAGACAGTTGATGTTGAGATGATGGCTGAGTAGGAGGCGTTAACTGTTGTGTGAGAGTTGGGGGTTGGTCTGCAGTAGTTGGATGCTGTGATGTATCATATGGTGCCTTCAGGTTGGGTTGTGTCATACGATCTAGCTGTTTTTTTCCCAGGTACTTGAAGCTGTTTTTGTATGTTACAATAATGATTGAAGCGCCGGTATTTTGCTGGAATTTTTTAATATTTTCAGCAAAATGAGCAGGTGTAATCCGGTCCCGGAAGCAGCCCATCGGTGAACAGATGAGTGTTTTTAGCTTTTTTGTTTTAAAATCTTCTGTTAGTTGTGAAAAAGCGGCATCATACAAGCTGTTATATTGCGGTATATAACAGTGGCCTGTAACGCCTGTAGACAATTGTATAATCCACTACTATAAAGTTACGTAGTGCATTATAATTATTATATGCACTTTCTTAGAAGAAAAAAAAACGTCCAATTATCCTTTGAATGATTCATGGAAAACTGTGAGATCACGGAAATTGGAAAAAAAGTTTCAACCTGGAAATAAAAACATTTATCAAAATGTAAATAATGAAATTCAGAAGAAAACTAGAATTTCTAAACCAATTATTGGGAAAGCTGCAAGAAATGAAAGCCTAAACGTAATAAAGAGAATAAATTGGCTTTTTGTGTCAAGACTAGGCCCTGAAGTTTCTGCTGAAGATGTAAAGGCATTTGTTATAAACCTTTGCAATGGGAACGATGTAATTTGCGAGAAACTAGGGACTCATTACCCAACGTACTCGTCCTTCAAGATAGGAATACCAAGTGAATAGGTACTCAGAAATCTTGGCAAAATCTGAAGTTTGGCCTGAAGGTATTTTGGATAACAAATACTTACAAAAAAGGTCAGTGGCTTCCATTGATAGTCAAAAAAACTAGTGAGGCCTAGGCCTAGGCTAATGATCAAATCTAGGCAAGTAGGCCTACTTAGCATAGGTTTTGTTAATGTAAGATCTATTTTTAAGAAAATTGATTTTATGTGTAGCTGAAACTTGGCTTACAGATGAAAAGGTTAAGTGTTTTAAAATAGAGGGGTACAGAGTGGCTGCCACCTATTGTAGGGTGAACCAAGTTGGTGGAGGAGTACCGGTAATGATTTTGATAAATGACAAACCATTATTGAAGGCATCAAATATTGAATGTAAGAACTCGATAGCCTTAGAGGGAAAATTTGAATGCTGTGCATCACTGATTAGTTACAACATAGGTTTTAAATTTGTTGTCTTGACAATATATCGTCCACCTTATGAGAGTAACTTAGACAATTTTATTGAATAACTTGACGAAACAATGAGCATGTTGAGCTGTAAATTTGACCTTCCTGTTAACAGGGAATTTTTATATAAATTGTATGGAGGATAGATATAATATGAGAGCATTGAATGATGTTTTCTGTTCTTATGAACTTTCAAATTTAATTAAACATCCAACAAGAATAACAAATGAATCTAGTAGTTTACTAGACTACATTGTGGTTGACCCCAGAATAGAAGTCAGTAATACTGAAGTTAGACCTACATTTTAGTCCGACCATTGTTTTTTAATGATGTCTTTTAAAGTTAACAAAAATGAAACTATAAAAAGAAGTATATAGTTAAAAGGAAGATAAATCAATCATCTATTGATGCTTTTTGTATATACCTCAACTTAAAACTTAACCAAGATTTGGACATAAACAATAAACTATTTAGTATGGGAATAAGAAATACAGCTTTAGATTGGATAATGTCTTTTCTTCAAGATCGAACTCAAGTAGTTTCTATAAAATATACAGATTCAAACCAGACATCAAAATTTGTCAAGTCAAAAATTTCTCCTTCAATAAACACAGGTGTCCCAAGGTTCGAACCTCGGGCCTATAATTTTCCTGCTTTTTATTAACGACCTGCCATGCTCAGTGACAAAGGGTAACATTTGGCTCTTTACAGACGACATCAGTCAACTATTTACAGGAAAAATTATGAAAGAAGTAATTGATGAAGCTCAACAGGGAGTAAATGAGATTGTTTCATTGTGCAGCTCAAATGGATTAACACTAAATCAAAGCAAAACAAATGTTCTTCATTTTTACAATAGGAAAATTCCAAATTGTTCACCTTTACTCAAAATGAATAGAAATAGCCTCAAAATCAACCATAGTACCAAACATCTTGGAATTACAATTACAGAAAATTTGCACTGGACTAAACATATTGATAGTATGATAAAACGTTTGAAAGTTGTATTCTGCTTAGTAAGAAGACTCCAAAACATAGTTGATCAAGAAGTATTACTAAAAATATACTATCGGTGCTTTCAGAGTGTAATAGCCTATGGTGTACTCTTTTGGCGAAATAGCCCTGATGCAAAGAGAGTTTTTATCCTACAGAATAGAATTGTTAGAACAATTTATAAGCAACATTACTTAACACCATGTGTACCTTTTTAATTCACTGCAAATTTTACCCTTTCCGTATCTTTACATATTTGAAGCAGCAGTAACAGTTAAGAAATCTCCCCAATGCTTTATTCAAAATTGCAACGTCTAATACGACATTAATACGAGGCAGAAGAAAAATTTACATGTACCTCAGATTAATTCAACTTTAGCAAGAAATAGCCCTCACTATCAGTGTGTAAACATTTTTAATAGACTACCAAAAGAAAAATTGAAGAATATATTAACGGAATCACCATTATATAAAATTGTAGACTTTATGGCAGGTCCATAAATATAAAGAGGAAAAAAATAAAAAACAAAAAAAAAACTGACGTCCACGGCGCAGCAGCGCTTCCAGTGGCAACACTTCAAGTATTAAGTAAGTAAGTTATTTCTAGGGAGCCAAAACAGATAGGCTTAGGCAACTAAGCATTATTAGAATTATTCTAAAATTAAAAAATGTAATTAGTAGCCAACAGGATTTATAAAATGATTAAAATAATAACATTGGGACATCAATTTCATCAAATGCTTCTCTGATCTTTCGCTTCATTTCTTCCAAGCTGTCTGACTTTGTTAGCATAATCCCGATATTTAACAAATCCCCAAACAAAAAAATCGCAAGGGTTAATGTCTGGCGATCTCAGTGGCCAAGGTATGGGCCCGTCACGACCAATCCAACGATTTGTTAACAAAATGTTACTGTTTTGTGTGTCTTCATCCCACAACAATGTAAGAAGGTACTGCTTATCAAAACAGTTGATTATAAAAATTGTTGAGTTTTCCTAACAAATAATGAAAACTAGAAGTTTCTACCTCTGTTAATACAGTACTGTTCAATGAAATGGCGACCATACATAGTAGGTATTTTAAGCCAAGTATGAATGGAGATGAGTGTAGAATGACAGGATGTGTGAGACAAAGCTAAAAATCAATCAGTTTTTATATAAACACCTGTATATGAACAAGCAAATTACAAAAATTAACTTTTTATGCATAAGAATAGCCTAACATAGTCATTTGCAATTTTTTTAATTCTTGCCATGACAAATATTTTACAAAACACTTCAATTTAGCCTACTAAATTACAAGGTGATAAATCTGGGTCCCCCTACTGGCCATAGGTATAACTTGATGTAGGTACAACTGGACGTAGGTACAACTAGTCTTAGGTACAACTAGACGCAGACGTAGATGTAAAACTAGACAGTGGTGTACCCGACAAGTTGTACCTGCAGATTTTTAATAGGCACAACTAGACGTAGAGACAAGTAGACGCATGCGCCACCGTTAAGTTGTATCTACAGATTTTGGACGAGGTACAACTAGACGCTTGTCGCCAAAATGCATCAGGTACAACTAGACGCCAGCACAAGTAGACGGCGACTCCTTAATTTTACCCAATGTCAGTGAAGAGTGAGTGTAGAATGAAGTAAGATAATCTTTATAGATTTTTTACTGGCTAAGATCAGCTGTTTCAGTTGCCAGGATCATTTATTTAAATGGTTGATCGGACCACGCGACGGAGTCATGGCGTGAGGTGGAAAGACGATCATGACGTGAAAGACAAGTACCTTTGGAAAGACAAGTCATGGAGGAAGAAAGACCTCCAATAATATTCATAATAATAATATTAAAATAAAATAAATATAAAATTCATATTAATAATAATATTTAAGTGTTTGCAAACCCGTATAATAAATGGTATTTAAAATTCCAGTCTTTTTTATTTTTTGTTTTTGAAGTTATGTTCAGTTAGGCTATTGTGTTAATCCTGATGCTAGGCTACTCGGTTTATATGCTAATCTTGACATGTAGCAGCTACCGTCTGTAAGAACTGGACAAGATTCGCCACTCATCGTACACTCATCTCCATTCAAATTTGGCTTAAAATACCTACCTTCATATGGTCGCCATTTCAGTTGAAAGTATTTACAGCATTAACTGGAATAGGAACTGAAATAGATTCAGTTTCCAGATCCAAAAACAAGGTGGTACTTGTGTTTCACAAATCAGAGGTTGGAAATATCTGTGGTACAGTAACCCTTTAAACAACATCATATGCAATTTTAATTTAACCTAATTAGACTAATTGGGAATACTACTGTTGATTCTATTGTAAAATGAATAGGCCTACTAGCATAACCTCCTCTAATACAAGGCCGTGGCGAGACAAAAGTGGCAACACCGCTGTCCCGCAACAGCTGTTGCACTAATTTATAATGAAGCGTCTGTGCAATGTTTATGTTATATTTGTTTGTTATTACCATAGCAACAGGCTGGCCGGTGCAAACCAACTCTGCAGGCGTTGATACCAGCCTACTAATTCATAAAGTCAATTGTTTCAAATGTATTTTTCCAGATGAATGCTATTGAGTCTATACCTGCTTTCCATCACCTAGAATCTTCTATCTTGGCAAAACCAGCCGTTCTACTTTTGTACTGGGTGTTGTTGGAACTTAAAGAACCTTCACTGTCAACCGTGAACCAATCAGAGGTAACCAAGAAGTTTTACTTTTTAAACCTACAAATGAATAATGCCTACCCTATGAATACTTTATTTTGGTTGGAAAACTCATAAAATTTAAAACACCTAGGGCGGAGCTTACTTCAAACAACTCTTTTAAGCCACACAGAGTACATAATTTACATGCAGATTCGGTATTATTAAATCTTATCTGGTGTTTAAAAAATAATGTTACAAAAAATGTTTACAAATACTAGTATTTAGTGTGAACAATCCAAAATCTTTTTGTCATTGGTTTATTTAATAGTAAAATGTGTTGAATTATAATTTTTTTTAAAATTTGTGTTTTAGCCCCTGGGCTGGATATAACTATAAATAGGTATCTACCTTCGTCTGCAGCTCAATTTGTGATGCAGGATTAACCTCTAGTTGGTACCCAGTTCAGAAAACGGCAATGTCAACCGGTACCAATGTGTGACAGGCCTTTTTAATCTTTGTATTTTTGTAAATGTAAAATGTTATTCATGTTGTGTGTTTTAACTATGACGACGCTACTTCAGCTGGATATTCCACGTCGGATGATGGCACTATAGCCTAATGCCAAAACGGCCGTAACACAAGCTACCACAAATTGAGCTGTAGACGAAGGAAAATACCTATTTTTAGTTATAATTTACGACTAAGATGTGAACATATACTGTGATGTATCCACAGGTAGATGAAGTTTTACAATTGGTCTCGTGTGAGCTGGCGCCTCCTCGTCCTTCGCTGGTAGTTAGGTTAAGTTACGAGGGGTCAGCAAGTGAGCGAAGATGGCAGAAGGAGGAGGAACGTCATGGTTCACTGTACGCTTTCCACGGCAGCCGAGTGGATAATTTCCACTCAATCCTCCATCATGGATTACAGCAGCATTTAACAAAGGTGGGTATAATGTGTTTACATTTAAAGCAACATAGGGTGTTAGTTGATTGAAGTCAATAATTTCCAGGGCAATTGCAATAGTTTAACTTAGAAATCAATGGCTTATGTGAAAGAGAATATATTTAGTGTCGGTCAACTTTGATGTGTGCACTATCAATAAAAGAAAATTTAGGTACACTTACAATTTTATCTGGAATAATCAATATGAACATCACTTTTTGCTGCAGCTACGTATTGGTAGTATTTGCTAAACTGAACATTATAATTCAGGTTACAAAAAAAAAAAACTACCTTGGTATGAGGGTGTTCAACTGTTCATAGAAAATCTTCATAAAGTTTTGAAAACCTTTTCTTTAATTTTGTGGTTGAACCTTAAAATAGCTAGAGCCAGTTAAAAGTTTAAACCTCTCATGAGACTTTGGATCAATAACAATTCCAGAACATCATTGTAATCTTCTGCAATCGCGGCTTGTAGCATATCATCAAAAGATTCCTACCCAAAAAAGCCAAAATAATTAAAACCTTGCAAGAAAAATAGGGAGAAAATGTTGACAATTTTTGGGTGCACAGATGGTTTAATATTTATGAATAAGTAGGCTTATATCATAAATAAATCATATATTATGTGGTGATTATATATTATTATATTACCGTATATATTATGTGACTTATATTATACTAGCAACAGAGCCCGTTGTGGTTAAATACAACGGTCTCAAGTAAAATAATGGTTGTGAAATCCATACACCACATTACTCACTAATATTAATGGTACAGATTAAGCATATAACATTAGAATTGCATACTTAACATAAGGAACTCACTTTAAACACAAATGCAAATTGTTAACAACAACATTTAATCAAAGAAAAATCAATTAAATAACAATATAACAATAAGCTGTTAAATTATTAACACATGTTTAATCTATATATGATTTTAATCTATATATATAAAATACTAGCTGGCCCGACAGACGTCGTCCTGTCCTATTGTGGTTTTATGTCACATGCTCGTTCATTTTCAAGATGAGCTCGTTTGCATGGCTCAATCACGTCCTGGTTGAAGTTCGTTCGCTACGCTCACTCACCTTTAGGTTGGAGCTCGTTCGCTGCGCTCACTTGCCTTCAGGTTAGCTCGTTCGCTACGCTAACTCGCCTCCAGGTTGAAGTTCGTTCGCTACGCTCACTCACCTTTTGGTTGCAAGTTAGCTGTTCTCATAAATTAAAAAAAAATATAGTGCTGCACCCTGTTGGTAAACCTATTAACTTTTTAATGCCATTGAACATCACAGAATCAAATTGTTTAGTTGAACCAGCTGTTAAGATTCTTTAATTCCATTTAAATATGAGTACTCATAAGGTTAACATGGGAAACTCCAGAGCCACTGGGGCGAAGCCCTTTTGACGGATCTGCACCAAACTTCACACAAACCATCCTTGAATAATGCTTAATAATGCCTGAAAGTTTCATTACAATCTGTCAAGCGGTTTCGGAGTCCATAAAGGACAAACATACACATATACAAATATACAAATATACAAATATACAAACATACAAACATACATTGGATTTTATATATATAGACAATGTATGTTTGTTTGTCCTTTATGAACTCCAAAACCGCTCGACAGATAGTAATGAAACTTTCAGGCATTATTAAGCATTATTCAAGGATGGTTTGTGTGAAGTTTGGTGCAGATCCGTCAAAGGGCTCCGCCCCAGTGGTTCTGGAGTTTCCCATGTTAACCTTATGAGTACTCATATTTAAATGGAATTAAAGAATCTTAACAGCTGGTTCAACTAATTAATTTGACTAGTGGTCGTCCTGTGGTCGAAACTCGACCAAAAATAATTAATGTACAGACTTCTCTATTTTCTCCCCACACTGTAAAAAACACATGTGATTGGAATTCCTTCCATTTGTTTTGATTTTCTGTTTACATTTCGTTGTTATTTCATCACCATCATGGCAACCCATATGGTCCATGTTAATTTTTTGAAGTTTTCAAATTCATTTTTTGTGCTTATTTGTTAGCCTATTTTAATTTTTAAAGGCATTCTGCACATCTACAGGATAATATCTTTCCAACAGTATGCGTAGATTTTCCCTGTGATGCACACGAGCTGAGAAAAAAGGTTTTAAAGAAACATGCTTGCCTATTAATATATAGATAGATAGATTCTGTGATGTCCAATAGCATTAAAAAGTTAATAGGTTTACCAACAGGGTGCGGCACTACTATTTTTTCAAATTTATTACAACAGCTAATTTGCAACCAAAAGGTGAGTGAGCGTAGCGAACAAACTTCAACCAGGACGTTATTGAGCCATGCAAGCGAGTTCATCTTGAAATGAACGAGCCCTTGACATAAAACCACATTAGGACAGGACGACGTCTGTCGGGCGAGCTAGTAAGGTAATAAATTTGAAAGAATAACAAACAAATAAGTACAGCTGAGGTTTTTTTAACATTAGGTATATGAAAAGTTCCCTTTAAAAAAGAATTACGACCTTAAATAGCAATTTAAGACATAATGGATAGTTTTGCGCAAGGTTTCTCGTCATGACGAACATTTTAAGTATATGGCTTATAATCATATACTGAGTGTGACTTATAGTTTTCTCAAAAGTTCATGGGTACTTTTGGCTTTATATATAGATGGATCCACCAATTTCCAGACAGGATAAGGAATCTGACTCAAGTTAGCTCATTACCATTGTCACATGAAGCGGTTAGAGACTTTGAAAATCTGAAGCTAGACATAGCCAATGCACTTATTACTCCAAGAGATGAACAAGAACTGTCGTGGTGGAAACAGATGCTTCAGATGTGGCTCTGAAGTCAAAATAATAGACCGATAGCTTTTTTCTCCAGGACTAAATAGATCTGAGAAATGATATCCCGCAGTTCAAAAGAAGCCGCTGCAATCGTTGAAGCCCTAAGAAAATGGAAACCATTCCTCATTGGGAGAGAATTCAAACTGCATACTGATCAGCAAGCTCTTTCGTTTGTGTTGAAGCCTGAAACACCTCCGATATTGACCTTGGACAGGGTGCCCCTTGAAACCTGTAGTGAAACCAAATACTTGGGCCTACACATTACGAAGAACCTTAATTGGGCAACACATGTCGATGCACATGACGAGCTAACCTGAAAACAAGTGAGCGCAGTGAATGATTTCCAACCCGAAGGTGTGTGAGCGTAGCGAACGAACTTCAACCAGGACGTGATTGAGCCATGCGAATACTTATGAATTTAAGCGGGGCAAAGCCCGCGGGTACAGCTAGTAATAAATAAAAGCCACATTTTGGTTACTCTTGTCTTTATGTACAACATATTACATATTTTACCAAATTTCTCTATAGGGAAGTAGCTATTACCGTAGGTCTCATGGTAAGACCTAGGCCCGGGACCGATTTACTTTTTCATTTTGATGTTGCCAGAGGCCAAAAACACAATTTGTTCAATTTTTTATATGTATATATATATATAGGCCTATCTACATATATATATATATATATATGTGTATGTGTGTGTGTGTCCGTCCGGACGTTAACCTAAGAAATTTTTGTCCGAATTTGATAAAATTTGGTTTGAAGATGTAAGGCGGGATAAACTTGAATGAGTTTGCGAACCAGCATGATCGGACCATGGGAACGGGGTTTTATGGGTTAAAAATGGGGTTTTCTAATTTTTTACCCTTATAACACCAAATTTAAATTTTTTTTCTCCAGACCTTTTTAAGAGTTTAAAAAAACAAATAATTTAGTATATCAAAGTCTTTTTGTACAGTGAATGGTTACGGGGAAAATTAAAAAAAAATTGGTAATTTAAAATTCCCATGTTATTCTTATGGAGAATATTGTAATATGTTGTAGTTGGCTTGTTTATGCATATATTTTGATCAAACTTGGCGGATATATTTATTTCATACTAAGCTATTGATATTTTAATAAAAAAAGCACACTTTATTAGTTTCCCTGTAGCAGCTAACCTAGGCACTCGTTAAACATAAATGTTAATTTAATAGATTAATTGAAAATCAATCCAGGAAAATGGAAATTCGCTTAGTCGGCAGGTTTGCTGTAGCGGGGGTATTTTATTCCTTCAGTGAATAATTCAATAAATCTTCTTAGTTAATCACTTTGTTTTTTGTTCATTTTTCATCTTTGGGAGTCTAAGTCACATTTGATTAGGTCACAATTGCATCCATTGAATCGCTGTGGTTTCACTTCCCCAGCTTGCCTATGCAGATTATGTGTAAAACTCCATCTATTACTGAGGGCCACTACAACGCACTGCCATTTCTTCTGTACCCAGGCTAAGTTGTCTGTCTGTTATTAACATTAACACGTCGAAAAATTCAAACGGCCATGAATATAATTTAATGTTTGAGTCAACCCATATAGTAATTGGCCAAGAAGTTTAGTTTTTACTGATGTTGTTGTTGTATTGTATGTTTTGATTTGTCCACAGAACGCCCTGTTTGGGCAGGGAGTGTACTTCTCCAGTGAGCTGCTGGTGTGTCTGCCCTACAGCAGGACAGGGTTGTTATGGAAGCACAGCTGTCTAGGGTCTGCTTGCAGCGTCGTTGCTATGTGTCAAATCATTGACCACCCAACCATTCTTTGCCAGAACGAACAAGGTAATCTGTTAGTTGGTTAAAACTAGTTGTTTCCAGTAAAGTACCTACAGTAAGTTTTGACCAAACTACCATCACTTGGCAGCACATCAGACTACTATCAATGACAATTATGTTGTGATTTGTATCCTGATGCTGCAACTTCTATTTTCCAGAATAGTGTTAGTTCTTATTCTTGTACTGTAGCCCTTGTTCAACTTTAGCTTTGCTCCAAAGGTTTAATACACTGGCCAAAGACAAGTAAATGACTCTGAGCCAAGGTAAAAATAGTCTCTTTTATATAAAAAACAACTTTTGTTAATTTACTTGGCCAAATATAATATCATGTAATTTCAATAACTATTTTTTTATCTTTCTTAAATTGTTTAGCTAGTGAAGAGAACAAGTCACGGGCTAGAGCGCAGGATAGCCTAGCTGGGGAGGTTCCTCACAAGCTGTACGTGGTGCCTAACAGTGACCTAATACAAGTGAGGTACTTGCTGGTGTACACAGAAAAGTCCAACTCCTCCCCCAGCCAAAGGTAGGTTGTTAGAGATGAATTGTTTAGCTAGTGAAGAGAACAAGTCACAGTCTAGAGCACAGGACAGCCTAGCTGAGGAGGTTCCTCACAAGCTGTACTTGGAGCCTAACAGTGACCTAATACAAGTGAGGTACTTGCTGGTGTACACAGAAAAGTCCAACTCCTCCCCCAGCCAAAGGTAGGTTGTTAGAGATGAATTGTTTAGCTAGTGAAGAGAACAAGTCACAGTCTAGAGCGCAGGATAGCCTAGCTGAGGAGGTTCCTCACAAGCTGTACGTGGTGCCTAACAGTGACCTAATACAAGTGAGGTACTTGCTGGTGTACACAGAAAAGTCCAACTCCTCCCCCAGCCAAAGGTAGGTTGTTAGAGATGAATTGTTTAGCTAGTGAAGAGAACAAGTCACGGGCTAGAGCGCAGGATAGCCTAGCTGGGGAGGTTCCTCACAAGCTGTACGTGGTGCCTAACAGTGACCTAATACAAGTGAGGTACTTGCTGGTGTACACAGAAAAGTCCAACTCCTCCCCCAGCCAAAGGTAGGTTGTTAGAGATGAATTGTTCAGGTAGTGAAGAGAACAAGTCACAGTCTAGAGCACAGGATAGCCTAGCTGGGGAGGTTCCTCACAAGCTGTACGTGGTGCCTAACAGTGACCTAATACAAGTGAGGTACTTGCTGGTGTACACAGAAAAGTCCAACTCCTCCCCCAGCCAAAGGTAGGTTGTTAGAGATGAATTGTTCAGGTAGTGAAGAGAACAAGTCACAGTCTAGAGCGCAGGATAGCCTAGCTGAGGAGGTTCCTCACAAGCTGTACGTGGTGCCTAACAGTGACCTAATACAAGTGAGGTACTTGCTGGTGTACACAGAAAAGTCCAACTCCTCCCCCAGCCAAAGGTAGGTTGTTAGAGATGAATTGTTCAGGTAGTGAAGAGAACAAGTCACAGTCTAGAGCGCAGGATAGCCTAGCTGAGGAGGTTCCTCACAAGCTGTACGTGGTGCCTAACAGTGACCTAATACAAGTGAGGTACTTGCTGGTGTACACAGAAAAGTCCAACTCCTCCCCCAGCCAAAGGTAGGTTGTTAGAGATGAATTGTTCAGGTAGTGAAGAGAACAAGTCACAGTCTAGAGCACAGGATAGCCTAGCTGAGGAGGTTCCTCACAAGCTGTACTTGGAGCCTAACAGTGACCTAATACAAGTGAGGTACTTGCTGGTGTACACAGAAAAGTCCAACTCCTCCCCCAGCCAAAGGTAGGTTGTTAGAGATGAATTGTTCAGGTAGTGAAGAGAACAAGTCACAGTCTAGAGCGCAGGATAGCCTAGCTGAGGAGGTTCCTCACAAGCTGTACGTGGTGCCTAACAGTGACCTAATACAAGTGAGGTACTTGCTGGTGTACACAGAAAAGTCCAACTCCTCCCCCAGCCAAAGGTAGGTTGTTAGAGATGAATTGTTCAGGTAGTGTATAGAACAAGTCACAGTCTAGAGCGCAGGACAGCCTAGCTGAGGAGGTTCCTCACAAGCTGTACGTGGTGCCTAACAGTGACCTAATACAAGTGAGGTACTTGCTGGTGTACACAGAAAAGTCCAACTCCTCCCCCAGCCAAAGGTAGGTTGTTAGAGATGAATTGTTCAGGTAGTGAAGAGAACAAGTCACAGTCTAGAGCACAGGATAGCCTAGCTGAGGAGCTGTACTTGGTGCCTAACAGTGACCTAATACAAGTGAGGTACTTGCTGGTGTACACAGAAAAGTCCAACTCCTCCCCCAGCCAAAGGTAGGTTGTTAGAGATGAATTGTTTAGCTAGTGAAGAGAACAAGTCACGGGCTAGAGCGCAGGATAGCCTAGCTGGGGAGGTTCCTCACAAGCTGTACGTGGTGCCTAACAGTGACCTAATACAAGTGAGGTACTTGCTGGTGTACACAGAAAAGTCCAACTCCTCCCCCAGCCAAAGGTAGGTTGTTAGAGATGAATTGTTCAGGTAGTGAAGAGAACAAGTCACAGTCTAGAGCACAGGATAGCCTAGCTGGGGAGGTTCCTCACAAGCTGTACGTGGTGCCTAACAGTGACCTAATACAAGTGAGGTACTTGCTGGTGTACACAGAAAAGTCCAACTCCTCCCCCAGCCAAAGGTAGGTTGTTAGAGATGAATTGTTCAGGTAGTGAAGAGAACAAGTCACAGTCTAGAGCGCAGGATAGCCTAGCTGAGGAGGTTCCTCACAAGCTGTACGTGGTGCCTAACAGTGACCTAATACAAGTGAGGTACTTGCTGGTGTACACAGAAAAGTCCAACTCCTCCCCCAGCCAAAGGTAGGTTGTTAGAGATGAATTGTTCAGGTAGTGAAGAGAACAAGTCACAGTCTAGAGCGCAGGATAGCCTAGCTGAGGAGGTTCCTCACAAGCTGTACGTGGTGCCTAACAGTGACCTAATACAAGTGAGGTACTTGCTGGTGTACACAGAAAAGTCCAACTCCTCCCCCAGCCAAAGGTAGGTTGTTAGAGATGAATTGTTCAGGTAGTGAAGAGAACAAGTCACAGTCTAGAGCACAGGATAGCCTAGCTGAGGAGGTTCCTCACAAGCTGTACTTGGAGCCTAACAGTGACCTAATACAAGTGAGGTACTTGCTGGTGTACACAGAAAAGTCCAACTCCTCCCCCAGCCAAAGGTAGGTTGTTAGAGATGAATTGTTCAGGTAGTGAAGAGAACAAGTCACAGTCTAGAGCGCAGGATAGCCTAGCTGAGGAGGTTCCTCACAAGCTGTACGTGGTGCCTAACAGTGACCTAATACAAGTGAGGTACTTGCTGGTGTACACAGAAAAGTCCAACTCCTCCCCCAGCCAAAGGTAGGTTGTTAGAGATGAATTGTTCAGGTAGTGTATAGAACAAGTCACAGTCTAGAGCGCAGGATAGCCTAGCTGAGGAGGTTCCTCACAAGCTGTACGTGGTGCCTAACAGTGACCTAATACAAGTGAGGTACTTGCTGGTGTACACAGAAAAGTCCAACTCCTCCCCCAGCCAAAGGTAGGTTGTTAGAGATGAATTGTTCAGGTAGTGAAGAGAACAAGTCACAGTCTAGAGCACAGGATAGCCTAGCTGAGGAGGTTCCTCACAAGCTGTACTTGGAGCCTAACACAGAACGTTCCAACTCTTTCCCCAGCCAAAGGTACTTTGTTGGAGATTATTTGTGTGTTGTTAGTCAAGTTTATGAACATTTTATATGGTCGCGCCCCACAATCATGAAATATCTTCATTGTCTTACAAGATCATAGCAAAATAAAATGTTCAGCGGTCAATGTGAAATCGTGAATGTCATCTGCAGTCATGGTAAAATTGTAGTGACCACATCAAAATCGTGAACTTCTTCCAAGGTTCCATTGTCATCAACTTTGTCTCTCGCAATCATGCTGAAATCGTGAGTTTTAAATTGCACAATCTTCGCAGACACAGTTTTGTTATCGATATGTGTAAGTCTATTAGAACAGTGTTTGGTAGTGAAAAATAAATTTAAAGTAAACTAAGTCTAGACTCTGCAGCCTTCTGTCCAAGACTCATCAGCCACTCAAAACCCCTAGGTTTATTCCAGCATCACTTTCTTTAATTTAGCAGTAAATATGTTTATAGTTATGTTACAATAAAAGACATAGTCAATGCAATATGTGAACTTTTCAACTTGTGTCCAAGAAAATATTTTTTCAGTAAGGTTTTATTTAATGAATAAAATAAAATAAATGCAAAATAAATGTTATGCAAAACTTAGGATTACTTCTATGGTTTAGCGTAAACACACCGTTTTACCAACCAATCATATTTTTTTGCAGATTAACCCAAAGAAACTCTGGCTTGCTGTCATGGCTGGGCCGACACAAGATGGCCGCCTCGTTGGCTACGTACGCTGTCGTACTTGTGGCCGTCGGACTTTCTAGGAGTCCCACCTTTCTAAGACTATGGCAAGACATTTGTCGAACAATCGGTATTCGATAATCATAAGCGTCGCTTTATATCCATTCCAAATTTACTTGTATATCCAATATTTGTGATAGTAGTTTTAGTTGAAATTCTTTGTTATTTGTATTACACTATTTTTTTTATGTTTATGTTCCTTATCGCTTTATTGAGTTTTGGAAAGATAGAAATCGATATACCAATCAAGATGCTAGGAATAAAAATTAAAATATCAAATATTAACTTTTCGCAAAGCTGAGCATAATGTTTACTGATACATCTATGTTGATTGGCTCAATATGAGGTGATCATAATAGATCGCAATAGATCATATTGCTAGCTACTTTTATCATCCAAAATCGGGATCCTATCTGTTCCACCTGGTTTGGTAAAGACTGTCTAAGTTAAGGTTTAACAGGGTATCTACTTTACTGTCATGCTAAAAACAGGCCAGTAATGATCTTAGACAAACTGTTTCAATTAATGTGATCAATAGAAACCGTGACCCAAAAATAAAACTACCTATTCTTCATTAAAAAAAACCACAATCTTTGCCTAGAGCCATTGCCCAAACTCAACTTTTTACTGCAGAATTATGCTTTGCAGTTGGGATCATTAAAACTTAATATCAAATTCTTTGTCAGAGACATAATCTTTTGTCTATGGTTTATATATTTTTTACATGTTGGGTATATAATAAAAATACAAGTGTGTGTAAATTATTTTTATAACATTTACAATATTTTATAATTTTTTACATATTTTTTGTGTCCCAGTGATAATCTTACATTAATGTGCATTACTAACTACTTTAATGCTAAAGTAACAAAATGAAAGTAAAGTAAAATGTAAAACATACTCATTTATACATTTTTATTTTAAAGGGAAACCAATTTCCTAATATTGAGTTTTCTCTTCAACGTACTCTGGAGAAGTCCTATCTCAGGACGAAATATCAGTGTTATGTTTTGTGTTCACCCCTGGTCTCGATAATTTTCTCAGGTAATTTAGCTGAACTATATTACTTTTCCAAAAATAGCTTTATATAGGCTATACTTTTTAATTCTCATGTATCAAATACAATGTTTATGCCTGGTTAACTTATTGTGTTGATAGCCTACTTTACTATTTTTAGAATTTGTTTCTTTTTTTTCAATTATAACTAAGTAGAATATTACATTTATAAGCTACTGCTTGTACTCCAGTACTACAACAAAATAGTTTATTGCTCACTTCAAATTTACTATAACACGAGAGAGAATCATTTCGCCAACATCAACATGATCAAATGTGATGTGGCCTTGACAAACATTAAAACTAGACAGATTTCACACTACCATTAAATATATATTTGTAAAAGTTAATAGTGAAACCAAAGACGTGATCTCAAAAAGCAAATAAGTGAAAAAAAACATGTAGATGGAAGTTTGAATAACTAAGATACATTTATATATTATTACGTGAATAATTATTATCTTTTATCAGTAGATTATTGTTTAGTAAATAATAGCATTAGATGTATTAAGGGATTATTGAAATATACTGTATAGTTTACTAGTATGAAAGACATTTGGTGCCTCATACAGGCAGTAAAATAATGATTGATTATTGTTTAGTTTTGTTGTAAATATAATGAAATTTAAAACTATTATTTTCAATTCAGAATCATTTTACCTCTCTCCTTTTAAAATTACTTGAATAAGATGTAGGATTGTATGCTTGGGTTTTTGGTAGAAATAACATCTTTATGATTCACTATATGAACATATAAATGTCCTAACTAAAGTACAAATTTTGATTTTAATATCCTTCAGCCATCTAATGAACACATAACTAACATACCTAGTGGTGGTATTTACGCCTACATAATTTGTCACAGAGCTTGTTTTTTACGTAATAATTGTAATGAAAATACAACTTTGAGTTCTTTTGAAATCCTATTTCCATGTTGACAAATAAGATTTGTTTAGTGTAGATTTAAGAATAGCAGTAATTTCTGAAATCATAACCCAACTTTTTCAAAACTAATTCAACCGCTTACTAAGACAGCAAAGCACATTGAGGCAAGCACAAAACCTGAATATCAATGCCGGGTGAAAATAAAATTAAGTTAATTAACTTGTGTTGTAGTCTAGTTTTGCTCCTGACTATGATTAGCAGTTTTGTTTTAGCTAGGATTACTTATTTAAAGCTCAATGGTCAAGGATAGGCCCCATTGTTACTGTGCCAGTGATGCAAATACCTCTAACCTCAACACCTCTAACAATCAACACAACCGACTACATACTATAATTGCATGTATATACAACTGTCCATTTTGAATTAAATGTAGTTTTTTTAGGCCAGCTTTAATCGTTTTCTCCAAGTACTAGGAATTGTAAATCACCAATTTATGCATTCCCTAAATTAGGTTAACCCTTTCACTATAGAAATCCTAATGCAGTAGAACCTCAATAACAAGACTATCACGGGGTTTATTAAATAAGACTTGTTATCACTTATCAAGGTTGACTCGTTATCAAGGTTCCACTACACTAAGTGGACATCTCATTTCCATGGTATTGTTGAATCAAACTCAGTTCATTATAGTTCAAGAAACAGCCATACAGACTCAATGTTTATTCAGTTTCTTTAAGCCAATGGTTCCACAGACAATATACAGGGATTATTAAAACACTTTGTAGTAAAACACACAATATTTAATTTACTAATAAATACTGTTCACACTAATAGTTATGCTAATTTACACTAAATCACAATGTTCGTTAAAATTATGAGTCTTTTGACAGCAGCATCTCGTAGAAAACTACTTAGAAGGCAGCTGTGGGGTCTTTGTACAATGTTCTGAAACAAATTTTGATAGTTGATTATATGGGAAAAACTGATATCTTTGTATACTACAGTTTATAAGTTGTCCTTTTTATACCTTTGAGCCACAGGGGTTATTCATTAATTTTATTTAATTATGCCCATTTTTTCAAATTTTCCACACCTTAAAAAGCCAAAAGTCCCAATTTTAATAGACAAACACCCAAATACGAGTAAGTACTGTTTTATAAAATACAATACTACCTACATCAAATAGCTATGCTGCCCTATGAACTTCTAATTTCCCAAGAATGTTGATTTTTATACACTCCTAAATCAGATTCCAACACTGTTCAAACCCCCTCACACTCCTTCCACCCTCAGATTACTACAACAGTCACGGAGGAAGATCCTAAGACAAGACCCTAAGTCTTGTGCTTGCCGCTCAGGCTCTTCCTTGCTTGTCACAAGTACATTGCCCTAGCACTTACATATGCGCACACACAACAGACGACGAGCGCAAGGTCATCCAAAAGAAAGTTTCCTCTGTACCTTCCTTCTCTGTGGTTACACAAGTTTGAGGTTATATCAGTGGTACCAACCTCTGAGCAGCGGGTGCAACTGTTGTTCAATACTGCAGTTCCTCCGTACCTTACTTCTCTGGGGTTACACTAATGGTTAAAAGACAAAGCAAGTTTGAGGTTATACCAGTGCTACCAACCTCTGAGCAGCGAGTGCAGCTGTTGTTCAGTACTGCAGTGTAGGAACCTGACGGGTTGCATCACCTGAAAAACTTCAACTACGCTGGGCTTGAGGTTGTAGAACAATAGAGGCTGGTTGCGGTAGACAAAGTCATCTATCAGAGACTTCACCCCCTGAAAAACACAACATGAAACAAATGAAAATAATCCTAAACACTTTCCATCATAATTAGTGAAGAAAAAAATTGTCACCATGTTTTGGGACCTACAATTTGATCCGGCCTCTGGTGAGAGAGTACCTTAAAGATTTGTACACCAACCCAGCCAAAGATGCATAGTTACAAAAGAAAACCCACACAGAGAACTGGAGAACTGCATAGTAGTCCAAATAAGAAACAAACAAATCCTCAAAGGACACCATTGTGTTCATTAGGTACGCCTATCCTCTAATAGTAGTAATTATTTTGCTAAGGGACTTTTTTTATTTCTCGTGTATTTTTAGCTGAAATTAATGAGGAATGAATTTTACATGAATGGGATGGTAGCTTTGTTACTGAAAAAGATCCGTTAGTTCTCCAGCCAGGACCATTTATTAAAACCCCTTTAAGGACAGCCAGGTTCAGTTTTGAAACATCAAAAAGGTAATGACTTTTATTGGGATTGAAGAAATCATCTTCTGATTACCAGGCAAACACTATAACCACTCAGGAGCCCAGCTATGTGTTTTGTGATACAAAAGTAGACACAACATTGGGCTTTCTTATACAGTAGGTACAGTGAGGTTAGGTTTACTCACCCTGGCTGCAGTGAAGTCAACACCCTGTACATGTCGACTGTCTATGACCACGGGAATACTGCTTGAGCCTTGCTTGACTCCTATCTTGCGCACAGTGCTGCGGACGTACTCGACTGAAGGAAAGACGAGACTGCGGTCTGGCGTAATCATCAGGTATTCACATCCCCAGTCAGTCTAGAGAAGAAACATACCGGCAAACCTTGTTATAACAAACATATTGTATGAGGAGCGGACTCAAAAGTCAACCGAAGCCTTGTTGAGCATATTAAAATTCAAGGCCAGTACTTGAGATAACCTCAAACTTTGGTTTTATCAATGCAGTGTGTCTACTACACTTTAAAACCCTAAATATCCTGGAAATTTCCCTGATATTTCTATTTTGATTTTTAAATAATTGAACTGTAGTAATAAATTGTCTGAGGTGTCTTTACAGAACTGAGATTTTCTTTACCTTAAGCCTCTCCACGTTAACTGAAGGTCTAGCGGATGCGTACAGAAGGAAGATTACATTGATGGAAATCCCAATGACAATCCCCAGCTCTAACCTGATGAGTAGACAACTTAAGAATGTTGCGGCTGCTGGGATCAAGTCCATTTCTGAAACAAACCAGTATATGAGCTAACAAGATTTACAGCTACTAGATAGATTATTTACAAATCTACTCCTTAAAAACAATGGAATTTTGTATGAAATAATTACACACCAGGTTCCGAAGAACCACCGAGAAATAAGGTACAGAGGAAACATTCAATGGTACACTTAAGTGGTGTCTAGCACTAGTCGCTGGTGTCTAAGGCAAAGTTCATCACCATCCCCCTCGCCTTCGTGTAGGCTACTACAACGCTCACAGTGTAGGAAGATCCTGTGCCCTATGCAATAGGAATTTCCTCACAGTGATCGCCACTTGGGCTCTTCCTTGCTTGTCACAAGTATATTTCCAACACAACATACCAGAGCTGAAAGGGCACGGTCGTTCCATAAGCGTGTTTTCTCTATAAAAGAACTAATAGTGATACTTGCCCATTGATCCCATCAACTTGTTTCATTTTTTGACATGTTAAAATTATAGTTCAATTTGTTGTTTCATTGTTAATCATAATTTTAGCATGTAATTAAAATTTACTTGCTTTTCGCATTATGTATAAGTTAATTCATTTCTTAACACTGATTAGATCCGCACATTTTCATGTGAGCAACTATTGCAAAAATGAAGATTACATTGTAAACAAATATAGACTTGAGTTTTAGAGTTCTATAGAAATGTTTCTAGATTAAATATTTATAGTTTTACTCACTGTTAGTCCTCCAAATGGGTTTGATTACATGGAACTCCACCATGAAGACGACAGCTGCGATGATTACAGCAGCCAGGGAGGCTTTGGGGATGTAGTGGAAATACGGGGTGAAGAAATACAGGGACAGCAGTACCAAGATACCTGAAACGCAGTCATTATGTAGTGATCTAATTATGCCTGTTATTATCATGTTTTCCTCTTCATAAACATTCAAATTCAATTTATTAGCTTAAAAATTGTTTGTAGACACACAGACACTATGCCTGACTTGAGGTGGGATGAAGAAATCACTCATCTTGTTAACTTTTACCTAAAATGTTCACCTTTTATTATACATTGACCTCTCCACTACCCAACCCAGCTCTCCCACAAACTGATCCACTCCTTATGATTTTCACACCAAACCTGACCAAGTAGAATTTGAACCCTCGTTCTTCTGGCCGGAGAGACAGATTTAATGATATTTAATGATGGCTGTAAATGAACTATTAGGTAATCTAAAGGCCCTTTTGCTCTAGAGTCCATTCATTGTTGACGAGGTCTATTATAACTTTCTAATTTAACGACCAATAAAGATTTATGACACATTAGACCGCTTGACCATTGACCAGACTTCATGGTCTACTGCAGCAAAAGCGCTGGTCAACCAAAAGCCCAAGACTTGTTCCGAACTTGACTCCCAGGCAGCACACGTCATCAACAGATTTCAGCCATTTTTGTCAGGTTTTTTGTAATAGAAAATGTGCTTATGTAAGCATTGAGTTTAGTCATAACCAACGCAAGTGACTTCTCATCCCATTGTAAAATTTGAAGCTCTGGTTTTTTACGTCTAATTTATGTTCGTGACACTGGGCGCTAGTGTCAACAAAATTTTGTTTCTTTTATGCCTTGAAAATTATATCTCCAATTTGATCACAATTATTTACTAACCTGTGTATATTCCGCCAAACGTAGTCCTCACACCGCTAGCATTGTTGACAGCTCCTCGAGACAGGGCGCCTGACACGGGCATTGAGCCTACAAAGGATGACACCAAGTTGCACATACCTAGCGCCAACATCTCCTGTGTGGCGTCTATACTCTTTCCTGCCGCTGTTGACAGATAATTATGTAAACTAACTTGTTAAGCCTACTAAATCTATTAGATATTAAAACCTTGTATGATGACAATTTTAAATTTCTGTAGATAGCAGTTATATCACCAAGCACAGACTTGTAGTCCGTTCAAGGAACTAAAGATTCTAAAATTAATGTTTTATATTATGGAAGAAGGAATGGATACACAATGGACACCACCTAGTTACATATTTTAAGCCAAATATGATGGAAGGATGAGTGTAGAATGTGAGATGATCTGTGTAGCTTTGTTACTGACTAAGATCAGCTATCATTACCAGGATCATTTCTTTAAAGCCCATGATCAGGGACCGCTGAGTCCAGTCTCAAACCATCAATAAGTTAAAAAACTTGAAAAAAAAAACTACAAAAGATGAAACTCTAAACATATAATGAATTTTTAATACTTACAGAACACTTTGGCAAGTGAGATGTCTTCCAATATGGACAACAAGGGCAGCACAATGATTGCAGAGCTGAATTGTGACGTCAAGTCGAGGAAGTTGTATGTAACGTTCTGTGACGTGATCGTAAATGGTGGCGGCTCAAACATCGGCAAACCTCCCTTCACATGAGCTATAGAAAAAGATGTTATTGTAAATTAAATCGATTAAAGTATAATTGTTGATGAGTTTCTCTATGGTGGGCTGTGTCTGCTTTTAGCAGACGAATAAAAAACCTGGCTTGTCGGAGAGTACAGCATACAACTCTCACTATTAATCAACTCCTGTGACATCATCAAGACTATGCTCCCATCATAAAATTCAGGCGGTTTGAGAGGAAGCGATTTCACCCCCTCCACCTATCCCTACCTCTGTTACAACAGCCGACAGCTGATATATACATTAAGTTAACAAAAGTGATGGGGGAACCAAGGAAATCTACCCCTTAAATCGCCTAAATTTTGTGAACGGACTATAATCCTACTTGTTGTTCATTCACAAACAACGGTGAGTACACTTGTATAGTTCAATTGTTCACTCAAAAAGGTGAGTAGCAAGTAAAGTCATCGGCAGAGTCTACTTTTCCTTAGATGTTTTTAATAGTTGTAGCTACTGAGCAAGTACACAACCCAAGTCCATGGCTAGTTTACAAGCTGTAAAAAATCCAGCAAGAAGCCTGTAAACACACCCGGTACAATATTTGCTTTAGGAAGCAAATATTGCTATTTCTCTGTAGATTGTAGGTATTGACTTTGTATTGAATTGTATTGACTTTTCAAGCACATCTGATTGAATGTAGGAAATTGTACGATTCATTCTTTGTTGTACGTTACCGTTACCTAAATGCAAGATTTAATTTCAGGAAGTTTTATAACTACCAATATTATGCAATGACAAACATAATTGAAAAGTTTTAAAGTCAAACACACCATCAAAATTTTATTGAACATTTCATTGTATGTATTACATTACATTGCAGTTCATACCTGAAAGGATAAATGGATTGAGGTTGTGAGTTTCAAAGACGTATGAGAGTACTCCGCAGACAAGAACCACCAAGATGTTCCTCGCAGTTGAGACGAGCCAGAGCGTCTGAGCGAGGAACCTCTGTGAAGGTGTTCGTTTGTTGACATCAGCCGGACCAACTGGAAGGTCTTTGATTTTCTAGACACAACAAGTCTCACAATTTTCATTCTGTAAGTTTTTGGACAACTCCACCTATTTTTTTAGTGGTAATGATCACCCAGTAAAGATTGTTTTATTCAGTCATACAATCAAACAAAAGCTGTGACTGAAAAATTTTTACAAATAATCATTAATGGTAGGTTATGCATTATTTGTTTTGACTATCCCTTCCTTGTGGGGGAATTTTCCTCTTCCTTGCGCCCCCAAAAACCTCAATCCTCTTGCACCCTTGGGCCTGGGCCCATTTACTAAACCAACTCTAAGTATCATAGCTTAATAAAGGAAATACTAACTAGTCCTTATGTCTTGTAGGTACAGTCAAATTCTTGAGCTAGAGTCAAATTTTGTAGTTATAAGATACTGATACGTGAATTCATAATCCACTAGGGAACTTTTGTCATATTGTGTAAAAACTATTGTGTTTCCAGATTGAGCTACAAAGAAATGTGTAAAAGAATGTTAACTACAACAATTTGGCGGCTACACAGTCTCTTTAGTTACTTACCCTGAGAAACAACAGCACAGCCATGCACGTGACTCCCAGAACTGCGTCACCTAGCCTTGCGTGACCAAGGTGTGTGACCACCCCCTCCAGTGTCTCTACGAACTTGTTGGCGGTAAACTGAAGTCCCAATAGGTCCTGCACATGGAACATTGGTAAAGTAGGAGGAAACTAGTTTTTTCACCAATTTGAACAATAATATCCAAGGTGAACAGATGACTTAGCTTTTGACACACGCTGAACCGATTGGATTGTAGATATATTCCTACAAAAAATTGTATTTGGCTGATCAACAACAAATTATAAATGTATAAGGGAGTATATTATTTCATGTAGCCAGTTTTAACTTAAAACTTATACTCTATGTTCACAAAATTTAGGCGGTTGTAGGGAAAGTAAATCCAACCTCCACTTTGCCCAACCTTTGAAACAACAAATAGGCAGCTGTTAATAAGCTCAAATCATCCATCAGATGTAACATAGTATGTATTACAGGAAAAGAGGTGGGGAACCCAGAAAAAACTTTCTCTCAAACCGCCTAAATTTTGTGAATGGACTATACTTTAATATTGTACCTCCCATAAAGTGTACTAAGGCAACAAGAAAAGATACAATATGCAATTTGCTCTTTTATATTGTCAGAATACTCTTGTATTTAATCCAATCTTACAGTTTTATTTTTCAGATGGAGTAAATAAATACTTCATTATTCAAAGTTAATGGTAAAAGTAAAGACCCAACATAGAGCCCTGTGGAACACCTACCTTGAGCATTGTGGTCGCAATAATGATGGCAGCTGCGGAAGTGAAGCCCACAGATACTGGTCCAGAGATAAAGTCGATTAGGAACCCTGAAATCATAACTTGATTTAGCACTGCCATCGACTAATGGATACTGTACCTACTATATTGTTAAACCACTGAGAAGAAAGGTACAGAGGAAATGTTCAATGCTAAACCTAAGTGGTGTCTAGCACTAGTAATGGTGTCCAGGGAAAAGTCCCCAATTGCCCTTATGTACTTCAATGCTCATGGAGGAGGAAGCCCCTAAGTGATTTTTACTCTGTGCTCGCCGCTCAGGCTCTTACTTGTTCGTCACAAAAATCATAACAGAGCTGAAAGCATACGGTTGCCCCATAAGCGAGTTCCCTCTTTGCCTTTTTTCTCTGTGATTAAGTGTACTCTTGACGATTTATTAAGAGGTTGTTCCAGGCAGGTATACACAGTTTTATGTGATCAAGTGGTTTTGAGTTTCAAATTTGTTTAATAGTTATCTATCAACAATAGCTGTATCCAACTATTAAGTGTAAAATAATTAACAGTTAATGAAAATTGTTCATCTAATTTTTCAATTGAGCATACAAAACAAATATTTTTATATATCCAACAAATATACGGCGTTGCTAAATCCTCTTTACACCCCCACATTTACCGATTATGCTCTAACGTTAAAATTCCATTTACAAAATGGACACCTCAAGAACCGTCCAAGACCTTGAACATGATAAATGATGATGAGGAAGAAACAATCAAAGATCACAAGATGCAGCCATTCAATGGCCAAACTCTGATTTAAGACTTGATAACCATCGCTTCTTTGTCTCAGTTCGCTCACTGCCTGCCCAAGGCCAAGGTAATGAACCTTTACTCTTGACTCTGCTGATTGCTTTATTATTGTTTATGAAATCTGCCAGGCATTGGCCTTGAAATGAGGAGAAGAAAAGTCTTTATTTACAATGGGAGTATCTGAGAGCGCCTATAAAATGTTAGTATGGATCATAAGTATTTGCTATAGACTTGAAGGAATTTATTTAAATAATTTAAATTATATTTTTAAATATATTTAATTTATTTAAATATATTTAACTGGTTGATAAGTTGGTTTAATCATAATATAAATGTCAATCGTCCCTGTTATCAAGACATTGGACTTTTCCAATGTTTATATTGGTCAAACAGAACAAGGATTTAACACAAGATTGATTAAAGCCTTGCTTCATTCCTATCTTGATAAATCAGTTTTGGTCAACATTTACTTGATATTTATCACTCACCGGTAATAAAAAATAATAATGCCTTGCAAAAAAAGGTAGAACAATGGCTACTTTAGTAAAATACAAGATAAATATTAAAGCTTCAAAGACAATAATACCGAATATATTATAACTATAACAAGAAACTACGATTCAACTTGCGTTTAACGTTCGATTCCCTCATTAACAATACAATCAATTGATAAGCTGAACCTCGCCTATTGTGTTTAACTATCTGACAACATCACAGGCTAAAGAACTTCATGAGTAACTGCGGCTGTTAACAATGATGTTCTAACATTGAAACTTATAAAAATGTGACTAACATTATAATGTAATGACAGAATAATTACACAAGTCTAGTTTTACATTATTCCAGCAGCTCAGGGGCTATAAAAACACTGATTTACAATAAACTGTATAAGCTTTTAAATGGGGGTCAATTCGAGGGTACAATTTTTTGTTTATGTTGATAACACTCGGAGTCTATGCAAGAAAAAACAGCTGATTGGACATTTTTGTGGACATTTGTTGCTATGGGGCGCTATTCAATTAAAGAAAATAACTGTTTGAATTAATAAAACCTTTTATTAAAAAAAAAATAGGATTATTTGACACAATGGACCTTACTTTAACATTTTGGCAATGCAGTAACGGTTAGGAGAACGTTGTCGGGAGATCATAAGCTAATATTTTCTTTAGCAATTGGAAGAGTAGTGTGCTAATAACAGTTTGAACGGCTTGTGGTTTCAACAAGATGTGGCTATATGTCAAGAAACCCGCAGTTGCTGGTGCAAAGCTAAAGCTTCCCAGACCCCTCTCAAACACAAAGGACAATGTTTTCTAACTCCACAACAGTTTAACAAGAAAGAAAATGGAAAATTTCAAAAGTACTGAAGCTTTGACTATTAATACAGCTGGACTTTCAATTCCCATGTTAAAGTTGTCACCAGTTTTTTAATCAAAATAATTGTAGTTGATGTGAGCCACTGATAGATTGCGCTGATCTAAATGATTGATAATTTCTGTGAAATACATGGATTTTTTTAACAAAGTCAAACTAATGAAATGAACTATGGTGAGCTATAGCAACTGTTATGACCCATCAACTTGGTCAGTGACGATAAAAACAAGGTAGAAAATTGAATTTTAGACCCCAGCACATTCTGTGACTGGCTCACATAACTATGTTCTTTTTTAATAAAAAATTGGCAACAGCTGTTCCATATAGATGGGATATCTACTTCAGTATCCAATAGTCAATGGCTAAAGTCTGAAGAACCATACATGGTGATAATTTGACAAATGTCCTTTTTCAGGGTTAATGTCAGTTCTCAACAATTGAGTCAAAACAAAAATATACCTAGTAGTTTACTGCAACATGTAATATTTAAATTTTAAATTGTAAACTCTATAACTAAATCACCCTTATCATAATTATTTAGTTTTAAGCCACTACATACCCAGTTGCAGTACGCCCATAACAAGCTGTACACAGCCTGTCAGGAAGCACAGCAGTATTGCACCCTGCGGGCCGGTGTTGTGGAGGTTTTCTCTCGTCAGGATCGCCATGATTGCCGTCGGTCCGAGAGGAGAGTCTTTACAACTGCCGAACAACGTGTAGACAAAACACGCCATGAACGACGAGTAAAGGCCATACTGCAACACACAGGTTTGTCAACATACAAGTTACTAGAATAGTTTGTAAATTATATGTTTAGTTTGAGAACAGGTTTCGACTATTGGTGGAACTAGACATTTCATTCCCATTGTTAAGTTGTACAGTCAATTTTATGGAATAAACTGAACATGCTTAAATCGAGCTAACAACAGTGTGCTGATGTATATATTACTGATTTAAACACCTCCTAAGCTATTTTCATGTCATATAAATTATTCATGAAAGTATGAAAAAAATAAGGTATAAAATGGAATTTTGACTTATATTGTAAGCTTTAGCATATTTAATGTAAAATGAACTATCACAGTAACAAAAACTTAGGGAGAAGTAACACATTATGAGAGTAGATTTTTCAACTACAATATTTGTTTGTAAAAAATTACTACTAGGTAATACTGGTCTATATGGAGGTAATGTGAACTTGAGTATCCAAAAGCCATGCGAAAAGTGTCATACAGTAACTTAATTAGAAACTTTATTGCTTATATAAAAATTTAAAAAATGAGTGAAAGTGTGAAATTGACTTTTAAATATTCAAATTTTTTCACATAGTCAAAAGTTTGATTTGTTATGTTTCTTATGCCAGAGTGGGTTCTTTATTTCTTTAAATGAATATTTTTATTATTGAAAACAGCAACATAAAAAATATTGAGATTTCATAGTGCAGATACACCATTCAAATAATACTGCTGTCCTAAAAAATCCTTGTACATTATTTTGTGAAGCTTTGTTCTCCATACATAAGCTACTATAGGTTCTTTCACTCTTACACAAGTATATCACCTGTATACTATACTATGTATCCATACTAACTGCACGTGTGTACACACTCTTGGGCCTTCCAGAGTCAATGACTGTCATTTGACCTGGTTACCCGGAACCACAACACCTATCAGCCCCCCGCCGGGTGCCGGGTGTTTGTCAATAACCGGGTCACAATGTATAGTGGGCGGGGTAGACCCAGCCCACATCTTACGTGTTATTGGTTTATTAGAAACAATTAGAAATTTTACCCTGATATTCCATCAGGGAGTTACAAAGCTTAAATAAGAATAGGAAATGTGTGATTTTAATTTTTCACCATGTTACTTTGCACGCCAGTTGTAAAATCGAAGGAGATACAGTAATAAGTTGTTTCTATTAGGTTTTATGGTGAATACAAGAATCCTGTAATTGTTTAAATTAGTGTGTTGAGTGGTTGAGAGGTTCTGTACAATAATTTCAGTTGAATAAAGATTTGGTATTTTGTAACAAGTAACTGGAGACCGAGCTGGCATATAGTTTATTTCCATTGTACTCCTATATCTAATGATCTTCAGTGCAATCTTTGCTCAATAGTAACAACTGATGTTTTTTCCTTTGTACTGCATTTTGTTGTTTGCTATTATCTTTGACTATTAATACAACTTCGGTATCCAATAGTCAATTCTAGTATATCGTGGATCGCTTGTTATTAACACATGTTTTCAAGACTTTTGTTTACTTTTTCCTTGTTACTTTGTTCAACGAACATGGTTACTTGGCAAACCATAAGGTCAAAGTTCAAAATGTTTTACTTTAAATTTAATTGTTTTTACCTAATTATATTTTTGTTGGCAGTTTTGATTGCAGTAAACACGTTTTTATGGTAGAAATCAATTATTTACAACATTTGAAAGAAATCGTCGAAGCCGTTTACGAGATCTTTGTGCAAGCATACATACAAGCATGCATATATACAATAAACATTGCTCATATCCCGTAAGAGTATAGGATTTGTTTTATGGTTAGTCATCTATATATATAAAATCCAATGTATGTTTGTATATTTGTATGTTTGTCCTTTATGGACTCCGAAACCGCTCGACAGATTGTAATGAAACTTTTAGGCATTATTAAGCATTATTCAAGGATGGTTTGTGTGAAGTTTGGTGCAGATCCGTTAATAGGGCTCCGCCCCAGTGGCTCTGGAGTTTCCCATGTTAACCTTATGAGTACTCATATTTAAATGGAATTAAAGAATCTTAACAGCTGGTGCAGCTAAACAATTTGATTCTGTGATGTTCAATAGCATTAAAAAGTTAATAGGTTTACCAACAGGGTGCAGCACTATATTTATTTTTAATTTATGAGAACAGCTAATTTGCAACCAAAAGGTGAGTGAGCGTAGCGAACGAACTTCAACCTGGAGGCGAGTTAGCGTAGCGAACGAGCTAACCTGAAGGCAAGTGAGCGCAGCGAACGAGCTCCAACCTAAAGGTGAGTGAGCGTAGCGAACGAACTTCAACCAGGACGTGATTGAGCCATGCGAACGAGCTCATCTTGAAAATGAACGAGCATGTGACATAAAACCACAATAGGACAGGACGACGTCTGTCGGGCCAGCTAGTAATTAATAATAATTAGTATTTTGATTGATTAGTGATACTGAAAAGTGGCTGATAGTTTCTTATAACAAAACTCATCATTTTTTGAACCCACAAACTGATTCAATTGTACTCAACATGATTTGTGAGATTTCATTATCAATGTAACAATATTTATAGATCTTTATTTTAAGTTCATAATCTGCTTTTAAGTTTCATTGAGTAATTGTGAGTAGGCAGGTTACAGGACAGGATTGTTTTGTGTCCTCTAGTATATTTCAAGACACCTTGAGGCAGGTAACCTGCCCGCCAACTGGCCTCGTGTAAATGTGTCTTAATGGAAAATATTTGCAATAATTTAATAAACAATATTTATACTGATGGCAGTAAAGTTGAAAACATAACTTTTACCAATGTAATTAAAACAAATTTAAACTTGTTTTTTATTTCATTGAGTCAATTTAGCAGTGAAAAAGAACTCCTGCAAAAATATTGATGCAAAACAGACACAGTATCCATATTGCATAGTGCTCCTTCACATTTTTAAATATTTGTCCAAGAATTAATAACAATGCTATAGTTCGGCCGCTTAGGCCCAGCGCACACGGTGTGACTGTTTTACAACTTTCGTTGCAAACCAGTTGCGCTTGCAACTGCTTTGTGACCTCGGCAATGTATTGCAATGGGGAGGCGCACACGACGCAACCGGTTGTATGTGATTTTAAAAAAAGTTTGAAACCAGTCACATGCAACCGTGGGCCCGACGTTGCAGCAACCAGTTGTTGCATGAGACCACGGGGTGTTTTTGTGGTGTTTGGTGGTATTTTGGTGGTATTTTGACGGCCGTATAGTGTTTTTAGTGTTTATAATTTCCTATCTGACTAGCTCTAGCTGCTACAAACAGCCTAGGACTAACATTCTTCCTCAAATAAGGGTGAACCCAATGCTCTCTCAGTACCCATCGCTGTCTTCGGTATTGATAATAGCTAATAACGTCTTCTTCGTCTGAATCTGACATAGAAAGCGCACTTAGGCTTTAAAACAACGTAACTGCACTAAATTGACACTCCACTGATTGCACAATAGACGCAACTGTAGTTGTAAAACAGTCACACCGTGTGCGGACAGAAGTTTTGTTTCAGTTGCAAACTGGTTTTAGTTGCAACTGGTTTGCAACAGTTGTTGTAAAACAGTCACACCGTGTGCGCTGGGCCTAAGAAAACGACCTCCTCTAGCATTGGTTTAGCATTAGCGCGCAGGTCGCTTTCTAAGCGGCCGAACTATATCTGTAATTTTGATAGTTAGGCAAGAGATTAAAATACTTTTTGTCCCAGTGAGAAAGTGTATAAAAGATTAACAGTTAAAATTTATTGTATAAAAAAATAAAGTTAATGTTATAATAAGGTTAAGTTAAGTTAAAGTTAACTGACAGTAAAAGTTTTTTGTATTAATATACAAAATTGATTTATTGTGTTGACTGTAATATTTTAAATCGCCTAATTAATGAAAAGAGCATGAATCATTGAAAGCAGACTGTATTTCTTAATCGTGTCAAAAAATATATACTTGTCCATAAAAGAAAGCTCTCTACAAGATTAAAATGTCAAGTTAAGAGTATTTAACCAGCATTTAGGCTCATCCTACATTGTTAAACATAAAGCACATTTTTTATTTTCAGTTACATTTAACTTCACAGGTATTAATTAATTTTTCTCCTAATTTTAGGTTAAATTCTAGAGTGTGATTTTTACTATTTGGAGCAAATTTGGTAATAAATCATTCTTTTTGCTGGCTGAAAAATAATTTTTCACCACACTATGATGTTTTTGGCTGTATTACATACGTTAATTGGTGGCTGAAAGTTACGTTTTGCTGGCCATGCCAGCTGTCATCGTAATTTGGGGACCGAGCAGGTTTTTACAGGCCGGGGCCGCAAAATCAGCTGTCCCCTTACTAACTTAATGAATGCATTTTAAATACACAATCAAAATCCATAGCATTACTGTTGCCTAGCAACTATTTATTTTTATTTTTGCTGATTCCTCAAATTATTTCTTCACATAACCTTGAAGTTGTAGTTGTGTTGACTATCAGTGTGCATTATTATAGTGGTGAATAGTGGTAATAGGAAATAGTGTGGTGAAAAATAGCGTTCGAACCACGGACCGAAATGGTTTTGCAGCTCTCGATCGATTTAAGTTCTCGACTTCGTCTCGAACTTAAAAACTATCTCGAGCCGGCAAAACCTCATTTTCGGCCCTAGGTACGAAATATACTATTAAGTTGGCAAAATTACAACAGATAAAATAGTCACTTCGATAGAAATTCTTAAAGCAAAATCTACATGATCTGGGCAAAAATAAGTCTTTAAAAATGTCATACCCCCAAAAGATGTAAATGCCCATGAGGATGTTTACAGGTTAAGTACAGTATAAAAAATTGGCAGAATGGCCTAGAGGTTATAGTGGTCATCTTCAAATGAGAAGGTGGCAGGTTTGAGTCTGGACTCAGATTCTTTTTGTCATTCGGCTATCAATTAAAAAAAAGTCGACACCAGTAGAAATCCAGAGATGAACTGTAACTTAAAAATCCCCATAAAAAAATCATGTAATTTACCTGTGGTGGGATACCAGCGACATTGGCATAAGCTATGCCTTGTGGAATCACAGTCAGTCCAACAGTTACACCTGCTACCAAATCACTGATAGCGTCTTCACTTGTATAGTTGGGTAACCAGCCTAGTATCGGTACCTGCAAAAATTAACTGTATCAGCAATCTGACACATACTTTCCTTGATTAGCTCGTCAACAACTCTCATTATGGGTGAGTGGTGGGAGTGACTATGATTTTTATGGGAAAATTCACAAAAGATGCAATAACATTTGAGCCGTAATTTTTACAGTGATGGGGTTAAAACATAAAATTTTGTTAGGAGTTAAAAGACTATAACATACAAAACTGTTATAACCCTTTTTTGGAAATTTAATTTTTCTGTTATTTTATGGGTTTTTATTGAAAAATCTCCGTTAAAAAACAAAATTTCCAAGAAAATATCCCTGAAGATACTTTTGGATTAGAATACCCACATACCCCCACAATAACCCACAACCCACAGTAACTAAATCTAGCCTGATGGTATTGTCAAGAATATACAGGGTGTCCCCAAACTTTCAATCACACTTTTAAGTTATCATTACGGGACTAAAGACAAACTAAAATGTGTAAACAATTCCAAAACTAAAAAATACAGCTGCCAACAAAACAGCGGCTGAACTTTTGAGTTGATTTTTTTAACACTATATTTTAGTTTGTATTTCGTCTAGTAACGATGCCAAAATAGTTTGGGGACACACTGCACCTGTCAATGTTACAGCTCTATAAAATTCTCAAGGGTTTTACCACTTTTTACAGGGCCAGGCTTCTTTTTCCATGGAATTGCAACACAGCTACTGTACTTCAAATGACGACTACTTGATCTAGGACTCACCCTCTTGTACAGATTCTTCCTGGTGAATGCCCGCCTGAGACGGTGGCTGCAGAAGGAGAGGGCAGAGTCTAGAGGTCCGCGATCACATCGTCCCTCGGACACCGTGACTGTCACACTTTGGGACTTGCCTGGGGACAAAACAGAGGTTGTAACAGGAATGAAGCATAATAATGTGACACATTTACAAGGTTGCCCGGAATTGTTGTTCACATTCCTTTTAGGCCTAGGGGTCGCAGTGTTATCACTGACATAAAAAACATTTGTGATTAGCGGGATTTGTACCCGGGACATCAGGGACCAAAAATAAAATAAAGGATGTAGCTAATTTGATAGTCATAGTGTAAATACATTTTAAAGTCTGTGAAACATCAATACAGGTCTAAGGAGCTGTATCTGAATTCATTAGCTTACTAACATAGGTAGATTAGCTGAGCTGTTAAAGTTGTTCATAGTTATAATCAGCTGGTAATGGTTTCCACATGCATCATACAAACCCTAACAACTTGTTAGTAACAGACCGGTTGAGAACAATCAGCTGTTCTCACGATATTATAGGATCAGCTGGTTTCACGGATATCCTTAACACATGGATATTAGAGCATCATATTGCATGTTTAAACAAAACACTTTCTACCTTGGGAAATCCATCATAAGATTAAGATTGTAGTCGGTGAAGTTGTGTTATTTAACAGATAATGCTTTTAAGGATAACCCAATGTTACTTTGGTTGAAAACTGTCCCTTTGGAACTACATCAGTTATCAAAGTTGTCAGTAAGATTACAGAAAACATACTTAAGATACGAAAAAAATCATAACTGTCTCGATTTATTGTTTTTAAAATACTTGCAGTTGACAAAAGCATAAGCTTCTAAACATAGATTACTTTAGAAAGTGTTAATCCACGGTTCTTCATGGCTACTAAGAAATTATTTTGTAGCTCTTAATCCATTTAGAGGGTTTATACTGTACATCAATATAAAACAATACAACAAAGTGAACAACTAACTGTTAATTATTGTTTGCTAAGAACAAAGTTATTTGACAAGCAATTTTATATAATTTGTATACTCTTCTCTTTTGATCTATGGTTGGAAAAAGTACATTAATACCGCAAGACAACTGACAACAACGTGAACTTCCAATGTTTACATTTTTGTGTTAGGTTAGGTTTGGTTACATCATGGCGGTCAGACGAGACGTCCTTGGCGGTAAAATGACATAAGATCAGCTGTGACCGTGACGTCACCTAACAGCTGTTTCCTGTCTGCAGAAGCTAAGGTCAGGATTGGTCGCGCTTTTTTCGGTGTCTTCAGTCAGATTAGTTTCAGGTTATGTCATTCGGGAACTACGCTTAGCCGAAAAATCGTGAGTTTGTCTGCCATCAAATAAACCTAATCAATTGCATTAAATCAGTCGTCAGTTTTAGGACATGAGTATTTGGTAGTCACGTGTTAACTCATTTAATATAGTGTAATGTATATTGTATTGTAGTTTGTATAGGTTGGCGGTACTGTACAGGCACTTCAACCGGTTTGAACGTGTCTCGTCTGTTGCTTCATGTTTTATAGTCATTGTTTAACTACGGCTATTGTCTAATAATTTATTGTTCGTTAGAGGCATTCGTCTCGTTCCGCTAAAGCGGCGACTGTCGAAGAATGCATATCTTACGGTAATATATACATATATTTTTATGTCATAGCTAGCTACTAAAAATGAAAACACCAGACAACTTGTAGCACATATTGAATTGCACGGGGCTATAACGATAATGCAACCCATCTGCTGAGAGTTGAATTTATGAGTAATTGTAACCTTAGATTAGAAGCCTTTTTGCGAATCTTCCAATAAGAGAAGTAGCGGAAGAAGTTATTTTAGATTCAGAACAGAACTTCAGCGACGATACAGCTTAACATAATAATTCCAAACACATTTAGCCAATCGTTGTAATATGATAGCAATAATCTTGAAAACAGCATGGGGCCTAATCTGGAACCTTGGGGAACACCGTAATCGTTTTTGCAAGGTAATCAATCGTTACTAATTTCATTCCCGACCATGTCCTCGACGTTTGAAGACTAAAGAAGAAGGTAAATCCTAACCTCAACTTGAAATTCACGGCGACACCGTGACAATGGCCGGGTCACTGCCACTGCCTTCTAAATCAGATAACGTCGTCATTGTTGTTCCTTCCATTCCAAATCAGCTGGTGGTCTACGGTTTAGAAGGTCTTAGAAAGATCTAGCTTTTACGTTAGTGTCAATAGTTTCCTGGTCCTGATCCTAAATAATATTCACATATTTTTTATTGTACCTAATTTTTATAATTTTATTGAATGTGTGAATGCCCAATAGTAGGCCTACCTTTTGTAATTATCTTAGATTTTCTTCAATCATCTGCGTTACGAAATAAAATCCCAACTTGAAAAAAATGTAAACCAATCAAAGTAGGCCTATAAATAGAGTAAAGGAAAAATATGAAGGTTTTTCATATTATTGTTATCAAGCCCACTCGAAACCTACTTCCAAAATACCCGTAGCGTACCCTAGGTAATTGTTATGGCATGAATAGGCTTTTTGCGTTCATGATCTACATTTATGTAAAACTTCAGCCCTGTAAATTAAGTAGTTTTAGCGTACGTAAATAACAAACAACAAAGGTGTACATCTCTTCTACTCTATGATATAGATACATTGCTAACAAATACGTAGTGTAGAAAATAATTTATTTTATAAAACACTAGTGATTACCTACGACATCTTCTTAGAAGAATGCTGAGCACAAGCAATCAATCGTTATTACTGTAAAAGTACGGTAAAAACATACATTCCGTTCGTAATTAAATAAGTTAGTATTTGCGTCAATCGTAGTAAATTGTACGAGGAATAAATTATTTTCGATGCATCTGCCAAAGGAGGATCTTCCATTTTTCCTTGTTTGCACGTTTTAACTCCTCCTATTATACTATTATCGTGTCTAAACGCGCGTAGTATTCATGTAATCAATGGAGGTTTTTACCATCCTGCTACTTAAAATTAATTTAATGAAATGCTACCTACAATGCTACACAGGTCATCACACACCATTCTACACTCATCCTTCACTCATACTTGAGAGAAGACGAATTATAGAATTATCCGGCACTCATCACCATTTATACAATGCATAATACACATTTTTATTTACTAAACAATCAATAAAAAGATTATTATAAGTTTTTAACTTCAATGACCTAATATTTCATGCAAAACAGGTCCATTGCACCGTTGCACGTTCATTGCCATTGCCCAAGTTGGTTTCCTCTTACTCTATGTACGTTACAAATCTGCTTCCTCTATGGACACAGAGTAACACCTGAGGGAATCTGTGAAAGCTGGCGTGCTGGAATGTCGTTCAGATCGCATCTTGTCGCAATTTCTTCTTCTTCCATCAGCCGCGCCAATCTAGACAATTTGCAGCTTTTTCTTCACTTCTAGGCGTGCCTGTCAACACTTCAGCGCGTGTTGATCATAACAATGCTAATTCGCAGTTGTTGACTCTAGGACCCACTATCATTAAAGGTATATCAATTTGCGGCTATTTTGGTTTTGAATTTACTACCGTAATGACTTCAAAATGTTCAATTTTATCGTCTCAAACTATATCTTATTTTATCATTGAATCCATTAATATAAGATCCAAAACGGTATGGATATTAAACATAAAAATGACGTCACCGTCACTGGCCTGAATGTCTACAGCGATAGCCGCAACAGTTTGTGTAGAAGTTTTTTGACAGTTCCATATAAATCTCAATGTCAACAGGTATTTTCATTCTTAGACAATTATCACCATTTTGTGATATTAAAACCCTTAAAGCAGTTTATTTTGCTTTTGTGCACTCTCATGTCTCTTTTGGTTTGTCGGTTTATGGCAACACCTCTAATAAAAATTTAAACATGATACTTATATTACAAAAAAAAGCAATAAGAATAATAATGAAACTTAAGTGGTTTGAGTCAGCCAGAGAACATTTTTCTAATTTAGGAATAATGACAGTTTACAGCCAATTAATCTATGATCTAATTCTGTGGATTAAAAAAAAAATCAAAACAGTCATTGTATGCTAGGTTTTAACCACAGATATGAAGCTATAAATAAGAATAATTTTTGTTTTAATAGACATAAGCTAACGTTTTATGAGAAGAAGCCAACATATCCAGGCATCAAATTTTTTAATTCATTACCAGACAACATAAAATGTAGGTATAACTGATTTTGGGTCCTTCAAAAAGAAATTGAAGTAATTTATTAATGTTAAACCTTTGTACGGTTTTAATGATTTTCTTTAAGCATATGTCGTCTGTAACAGTTAATTTAATTTCTTACAGTGATTATAATTTTAATTTATTATTGTATTATATATACTTGTACTTACTAGTTTATAATAGTACTTGTTGACGCCATTCTGTACTCTATGTGTACATAATGAATAAAGAAAATTTTGATTTGATTTGATTTGAAATATCAATAAACATGATTACTTTCAGACTATCCGCTCTCTTGGATCTATGTGCTTTCAAGCCAGTGACATAATTTGCTTATGATTATGATCCATACAGTTTCGGTTTTAATATTCTTGATTGAACCTAATATTTAAGTTGTTTTATGGTGTACCCTGAATTTTTTATAAATCACACACAAATGATTTTTACCACGCAATTTATCTCTGGAATACAAACAACTTAGCAAGTTTATTATTTTTTGCATCTGGATTTCTTCATAGAATCTACAAGGATTGTTCCTATGACAATGTCAACGATATGACTTGTCGTGGGGGGGGGGGGGTCGTCGTAGTTCAATCGGAAAAACTTTCGTTGGCTTACACCATATATGATCACTTGGGAGACTTTATCTACCAGAAAACACCACGACTTTAATGAGCAATGAAATGAAAATCTCATTCCTGCCTCTTGGTGTGTTTCATTCTCTTTCATCCTGAACAACACATGCTGAATAGTATACGTAGATCTAGATATTTAGGGGGTTTCAAATGTTTCGATTTATAAGGTCGCACAATCCAAGAATATCGTTTATGACTATTTGGTTTGTCTCATTTCATCTGTCCTTTATTCGATTTCCTGTAACCCT